TTCCAGACGGAACCCCAGAAAAAGCCCAGCCATAAGGGGCCAGGACTCCCTGCCAGCCCCTCCTCCCTGGGCGTCTCCTGATGGGCCCTGCTTGCTCACAGGGAGTGAGACTGTCCGACAGGGTTTGGGTTTCTCTGCTCTGTTTCTTCCGGTTTTATTTGCCCACTTTGGAAAGGAAGTGGCTGGAATCTGCATCAGAATTGGTGTCCACTACCTCGTGGATCAAAGGACAATTGGAAATCCATGCAAAGTCTTTTCTTATTCAATGCCTCATATTCTACAAGCAGAAAAAAAAAAAAAATCAGAGTCAGTGACTCACCCAAGGTCACAGGAGAGTGCTGGGAAGACCCTGGGAAATCAGCAGGAATCCCCACAGTGTGCAGAGGTCAGCTCCAGCAGGAAGGCCAGCAGGAAAATGTCTGCGCCTCATCTCTGTCCATCAGGCCCTATCCATTCACGGTGTGCCCGCAGGCCAGGGAAAGACAAGAGATGCTGAAGACACCGTGTTTTTAGTGTAGCAACAGGACAGCCCCTGCTTATCAGGTGCCACCCAGGAGCTGTGCCAGGCACCCTACATAAGTGACCCCACATCATCCCTGGAGGGGATCTGAGGAGGTCCCAGAGAGGACTCATCACAGGACAATGGCATCCTTGACAAATGTCATAAAAAAGGGTTTCAAGAAATGTCGGGTAGAGGCAGAAGCAGAGACTTATCAGGAAATCCAGGAGCACACATTCAAGGGAGAATGCGGGCCATCTCCAGCAGGAGAGATACTTTTGGGGTCTGGGGCTCTTCTTTTAAAAGAAACCTTATGGGGGGTGAGCATGGGAAGGTGTGCGGGGATGACATCAGCCTTACGATCCCAGATGGTTTGTGGTGGTCGGTGACTCTGTATCCTCAGGTTGATGTCTTCTCCACTGTCTGATCAGTGGACAATGTGGCCAAGTCCCCTGGGGGATAGGATTTAAATTGCTCTTTGCTCAGGCTGTTCTAAAACACACAGAGCTGTAGCCGTGGACTAATTAACAGTGCGCAGGGCGGTTTCCATAGGCAGGTGAGTTTGTGAATGAAGATCTGTAGATTTTCCAGAAAGTGGAGAGGGCCAGGCCTGGGGAGGAATGACGGCTCAGGCAGTGAAAGGGCGGGCAACCTCGGCACAAGCTTTGGGATTAAAGTCATGGCCTCCTTTCCCTTCATCTCCTTTCTGCCTATCTTTTGCTTCTTGTCTCCTCCCTCAATGTGATCCCCACCACATCGTGAGCTTCAAAGTGGCTAAATAACTCGCCCAAGATCACTCTGACAAGAGGAGGCCGGGCAGGAGACCAAAACACACTTTATCTGAAAGACACAAGAAACCATGAGAAAGAAACGGCTGTGTTGGCCCTTATCAGCCTCGGGCTTCACCACCAGCTGATGGAGAGAGTTTCTGGGCAGAGCTTGGACTCAGAAGCAACTTGAGGACAAGCAGCAAGTTTGGTGGCAGGTGCTTGTGATAGGAGGAAGTGGCACACATGTGATTCAGTTCACTCCCTGAGCACCTACTGTGTGCCAGGCTCAGGACAAGGCACTCAGGAGGCGAGAACTTCCCAGGGCTTCTAGTCTAGGTAGTGGTGGGTACAGATAAATAGGTCAGGTAATCTTTTCAGATACTGAGAAGTGCTATGGAAACAATAAAATAGGATGGTACAAGTGTCTCGAGAACTGTGTTGCAGTTTCTTAAAAAGTTAAACATATGCTGGGTACAGTGGCGCACGCCTGTGATCCCAGCAGCTCAGGAGGCTGTGGCAGGAGGATTGTGAGTTCAAAGCCAGCCTCAGCAACAGCAAGGTGCTAAGCAACGCAGTGAGACCCTGTCTCAAAATAAAATACAAAATAGGGCTGGGGATGTGGCCCCTGACTTCAATCCCCGGTACAACTCCCCCAAAAATAAGTTAAACATATACTGCCATATGATCAGCCATTTCACTTCTAGGTATTTATCCAAGAAGTTGTGCAAGGCAGGCACAGTGACACATACCTATAATCCCAGAGACCCAGAAGACTGAGTCAGGAGGATCTCAAGTTCAAGGTCAGCAGCAGCAACTTATCAAGACCCTTTCTCAAGATTTAAAAATTTAAAAAAGGGACTGAGGATGGAGCTCAGTGGTAAAGCGCCCCTGGGTTCAATCCCAGCATTCCACATGTCAATTTCTTTGTTGAAGAGACAGAAACATACAGGATGGGCGAGGGACATTAAACATTTACACCTGAATTCCAAAAGGGTACTCACTAAAGATGTGCGCGGAAGCCTTGTGGAATGTGGAGGTCATTTGTCCTTCCAGAGCCAACAATGAGTCATGGTGAGGAGGACTCGGGCTCCTCTGAGAACACAGTTTAGGGTTCCTTTGTTCCTCTGTGCTTTGGCTGCCTCCCCCAGGCCCACCCGCCAGCTGGAGTTCTCCGTGCACTCTCCCCCGCCTCCCTCCTATGCCAGCTGGCTGGGAGGAACACAGCATCAGTGTGTGAGTGGCAGGGACACTCCACAGACCTGCCTTGTGCTTCTGCAGGCCCTCCTCGCCTGGCTCTGTCCTCTTCATCCCAGCCTGGCCGGTATTGCCTGCTCCGTAGGCTGTGGAGCTCAGTGGTTAGATGTCAGGGTCCTGGAGCCCGCACTTCTGGGCGCCCAACTCAGCTTCAGTGCCAACGAGTACATGGGTCTTTGAGCCAAGCAGTGGAACTTCTCTTAACTTGTGAACAGGAGTAGGAACTGTGCCTATCCTAGCTAGGGTTGTTTGTGTCTGCCACGAAAGAAGTACTTAATGTCCCTTCTAACTAATCCTGAACCTTCTCCTTACAAAGTGACCATGGTTTTATTGCACACGTGGGTGGGGGAAGGTGGGATTCTTTTCCTCCCCTTCCATAAAGGGCACAGCCAACACAAAAGATAGTTTAGCAAGAGAAAATCATAGCAGATTTATTTAATCAAGGTTCTATGAGACACGGGAGCCTTCAGCAATAAAGACCCAAATCCTAAGGAAAACTGGCTGCTTTTATGCTTCAGTGTGATGAAGAACAGAGAACTGTGCAGAAATGGGATCTGAGGGTGACAGACAAGTGGGACCAGCAAGGCCTGAACATTTATTTATTTTTATTTTTATTTTTTTTAAGAGAGAGAGAGAGAGAGAGAATTTTTAATATTTATTTTTTAGTTTTCTGCGGACACAACATCTTTGTTTGTATGTGGTGCTGAAGATCAAACCCGGGCCGCACGCACGCCAGGCAAGCGCGCTACCGCTTGAGCCACATCCCCAGCCCAAGGCCTGTACATTTAAATTCTCTCTCTCTCTCTTTTTTTCTTTTTCTTTTTGTGGTGCTGGGGATCTAACCCAGGGCCTTGGGCATGCAAGGCAAGCACTCTACCAACTGAGCTATGTCCCCAGCCCCATTCAAATTCTTTTTAGCCTCTGTGTCATTGCTCCTCCTGGTCTGGGGCAGGACTCCTTAGGTACTCTTAGGTACTCTTCTTCCCCCTTGTACTAGGGATGAAATCCATGGCATCAGACACGGTGACCAAATGCTCTACCACTAAGCTACATCCTTAGCCCTTAAAAATAGGGTACATTTTAGGGCCCCCTCTGGAATGAATGTCCTCCAGGGAGAACGGAAAAGGGAGAACTTTCTAGGCTTTATGGCTTGCTTTGGGGGACAGGGATTCTAGTTTCCAGGATGCATCTGGGGGAAAGGAGTCTGGGTTTCAGTGAGGGTTTCTATGATGCCCTTCAGGGAGAAAGGAAAGGGAAGGAGACAGGAGGGCAGGGGAAGGTCAGAGGGGCTTTGTCTCTGAGCCGCAAAACTCTCTTCACCTAGGCAGGGAATCCTTTCTTTGTATGCGGGGAGACCTTGGGTCTGGATATTATCTGAGGACCTGTCCAGGCAATTTTGTGGGTTCCCACCTGGTTTTTACCCTCCTGGAAACAGAACAAGAACTCAGATATGCCCTGAGAGTGGCCACACCCAAGATGGCAGGGAGACGATCCCTTTCTCCTCATTTCCTCCCAGCACAATTGAGGGTTTATGTAGGGAAGAATTTCTGCTGGTTTTCCAGCTACAGCTTCCTAAAACTTTTGGTATGTTGACTTAAATGGGTTCTGACCACTTGGCTCCTGGGTACTGAGGCAACAATGGCTTATGTGGGTTGCCCATTTAATAAGTGCCAGGCACTCTCTTCTAGACTAAGCTTTAGCTGGGCTGTACCCAGCCCTGGGTTTTGTTTTGTTTTTCTTTCTTTGCGACACGCCCACCTCTGTTTTTGTTTGTTTCTTTGAGACAAGGTCTCACCAAGGCTGCCTAGGCTGGTTTGAATTCCAGGATGCAGAGAATCCTCCTGTCTCAGCCTCCAAAATGGTAGGGGTCTCCATAGCTTTTGACTAGGAACCGACCTTGGCCTTCTATCTTCCTGTCCTGCCCTGTCTGCATGACCCAATTATAGCAAGAATACTGCTCTCTGTAGCAAGAAGCGCCCTGCTCTTGGTGTCTCCTCATCAATTTTTCATTCATGGTTTTTAGCAATAATCCCCACTAACCCTTGTTTGCAGTTGAGTCCCGTCTCCCTCCCTGTTGCAGTTCTATTTTTGAACAGCCTCCTTACTGCTTTAACGAGTGCTCGAATAATTTTTTTTTCTTTAACGACATAAATTAACTAATTTATCCTTCCAAGGAGGTAGGTACTGTAAATAACCCATTTATGTGGGTAAGGACAGAGGAGAGAGGGTGCCCTCGGGGAGACACCCACTGGTGCCATGTCAGCAGCTTGCACCCGGCCGCAGGTGGGCCCACCAGCCCAGCTTCTAGGCTACAAACCCGGTGGGGGCTGCAGCCTAGCGGGAGGCGCGAGCTGCAGGACGCCGTCTCCTGGCAACCCTGCAGCAGTCATATGCCCCGCCCCCGCGTGCCTCACATGACCAGAAGCCGAGCCGGGATTGGCTCGGGCGCAACGGGTGGGGTGGGACCGGGCAAGTTAGTTTTTCGAGTTCGGAGCCCAGGAGCCCCCGCGGCCGTCGCGTCGGTGCCCACCGCCTGGGCCGGGATGGAGCTGCCGGTCGTGAACTTGAAGGTGGCCGCTGCGGGGCGGAGCGGGCCTCCTGTGCGGGAGGGTGCTGGCACCTGGGTTTTGAAGGAGGGTGGGAGGACCGAGTCCGGGGAAGGAGGAGTAGCAGGGACCAGGGGACCGCACAGACCCCAGTGAGGAGGAGGTGCGCGCGGGCCGCGGCAGGCAGGGGCCGGCAGGGGCCGGCAAGAGCCCGCAGGCAAGACCCGGGGGGCGCGGGGCGGCCGGCGAGGGAGGGGGCCGTCCCCTGTCCCTTGGGCTGGCAGAGACGGGTCCCCAGGACTGCGCCGGCCCTCGCGCCCAGAATGCCCCTGGAGCAGGGGGAGGGGCCGCCGAGGGACACCGCCCCTCCGGCCCGAGGGGGCCAGTCGTTTCTCCCGAGCCCCGGTCCAGCCTTGGTGGCCGCCTTTGTGTGCAAAGTCAGATTAAGAAAATCCGACGTTCCCAAGCCTTGGGCTTTCCAGAGTTTACCAGTGCAGCGTCTTTATTGCATAATTAAGAAGTACAAGCTGCAGAAGTTACTTAAAAGCAGAAAACCCCAACCCGGGGCCCTGGGGCCAACGCTGCGGGGCCTCCTGGGGTGTCTTCATTTCCTGAGCCTGGCGCTGTTCCTTTTCTCGCCGCCCACCCCCAGCGTCTGGTGCCTGAACTTCGTTTGCAACAGAGGGACTGGCGACTTAGCTTTGGTCAGGAAGGTGTGGACCTTGGACTAAACCGGCCATTTTGGGTCTTGGTGCAGTTTCCTCGGAGACTCTATCCGCCCCTTACTCTTGAGTGCTTGAGTGACAAAGCATTTAGCACCGTTGGTGTCTGGGACTAAAGGAATCTGAGAGATGGCTACACAGCTGCAGTGTAATCTGTATTTGGATCATTACACGTGGTCTGAGTGGGGACTTGCCCTGGGCAGATTTCCCTTCTTAATCATGCAGTGCTGCTTGAGCCAGCTTTCCTGGATCTTCCAGCCAGCAGCCTGGGGAGAGAGGGCTGGAACAAGGGAATGGAATGTTTCCTTGGGGAGAAACTGAGAGGGAAGGGCACTCCAGTTTGTGAGACCTTTCAGCAGGGCAGGTTGTAACCTTCATCACAGTCCACTTCTGAGAAACGTTGCCATCTTTTTATGAAGGAGTGGACTTCAACTCAGATCAAGGAAGTGAAGTGTCAGGGTCCCCCAGGGACTGAGTGGCCGAGTCAAGATTTGACCCTAGTGCTGTGGCATTTCCTGGGTACCACTTCAGTCAAGGCTGACTTTGGCCTTGACTGCTTATGTCAGTTTTATGGGCCTGACAGGCCAAGAGCATCCACAGGTGTGAGCTCTGATGGCGGGGCCTTCCCTTGACTGGGCAACAAGAACCTGTCTCCCGGGGTCTCAGCTGCTACCGAGACAAGTGAGTGCGGGGGGACCCTGAGGGGCCAGGTTAGCAGGTAACAGACGGGACATCCAGTTGAATTTGGGTTTCAGAGCAACAGGTTTTTATTATGAGTACGTCTTAGGCAGTATTGGGGACAGACTAAATTATTCATGGTCTGAAATTCAGGATTAGCTAGGTGTTCTGTGGTTTTGTTTGCCACATCTGGCCAGCCTATGGAGGGCAGCTCTTAGGCACTTAAGTAGGAAATCCCTTGGTAGCTGGGGACTGTACCCTGGGCCTGAGCCCCCTCAGTCCCTCCCTCTTTCATTCCTTGGGTGTAGGCTCAGCAGTTTTGGGTGGTCAGGCGACTTTCCAAGGCCATATTGCCTCTGAAGTCACCCCACCAGGATCACAGCCACACATGGAACTCCAGGAACCCAGCAGTCAGCCACTCCATGGCCTCACCTCCCTCAGGACAGCCCTGACGTGTCCCTTAGCCTCAGGGTAGGAACACATTCAGTGTTCCCAGTGGCATGCTCATCTGAGGCCTCCCTGGGAAGTCCCACCTGCCTCCTCCCACGGGTCCGCTGGTGGTAGAGGTTTGAGTCTTGGCCCACTTGGCTCCTTGGTTTCTTCTTGGCCTTCCCTTCTCTGGGTCACACCTCCTCCTCGACCCACCCTGCCTTGCTCTTCCTGAGATTGCAGCACATTGGCTGGGCACGGGCCTGTGGACAGACAGACAGACATTCAAGGCCAGGCCTTGCCACTTATTAGCTGTATGAGTTGAGTGGGTTTCTTGACCCGAGTATCCATTTCCTCACGTAAGAGGATAAAACAGCTCCTGCCTTCCAGCGTGAACAGGGAGGAGCCTGGGTCCAGGAGGGAGCCTTAGGTTGACGCAGGCCAGATGCGCTGATCCCGAGATGTGCGTCTGGGCTCTGAGGAGTGTGAGCTTTACCTCTGGGGCAGTTTACCTATCTCTCACACCTCAGCTCTGCCCATAGGGTTAGTTCCTGGGATGACCTGGGCCAGATGTTTGGGCAGTAGGGGCACAGAGCACCTTAGCAGGCAGGTGCAGGTCCGTAGTGGGAATCGCTCCTGTCACTGCTGCACAGGACACTGGGCTGCACAGGAACCTGTGGGTATTAAGTGGGTAGGGCTGCTTCCCTGGCAGTTGGACAGATGGGTCCTACCAGACACGGGCTGCCTCCATCTCACACCCTGACTCCTGTCCCCCCAGCAGCCTGTGACCCCCAGTGCCGTGGTCTGTTGGCCTCTGTCTGGGGACAGCCCCCTGGCTGAGCACTGCAGTGAGAGTCCAGGGCTCAGGTCCTGCCTTCCCCTGTCCTGCAGGGAAGGTCCTGCTGACCTCGGGGCCCGTCCTGGTTCCATGTAGCTCAGAACCCTCCCACGTTTCCTGCTTCTTTCTCAGAAGCCTCGGGATCACGTTGGTTACCAGAAACCTCCCTAGAGCCAGCCGGTGTCCACAGTGAGTCACAGGCCTCTCCTGCTGCAGGGTGCCAGGAAGGGCAGGCCTGGTTTGGCTGGGTTCCCAGGAGCGGTCCTGGGTGTTAGGTCTGGGGGGGGGGGGTGACCTCCCAGCACAACAATAAGAAACGGAGGCAGCAGAGGCTGTCTCCATGGGCTTGTCTTCCCCGGGGGCTTAAGAGAAGTGACAGCGCTGAGTTCCTTCCATACTAAGGAAACAACAGCGATGCCGTGCAGGGGGCCGTGTGTCCTCTGAGGGTCCGCAGGCTTTGGGGTTCTGTTTTCTTCCTCCACTGCAGAGGCTTGGCTTTAGCTGGCCGCTCCTGCCCACAGCCCTTAGCTGGAGGCAGAGTCTCCCACAGGTCATTCAGTGACCTGCCTGTGGCCCCTGCAGCCCTTCAGCTGCCCCTGCCTCGGCCTCTGGTCCCGTTGCCATGCTCCATAGTAAGCCAGGGCTGGCCGGCTGCAGGCGGAACTCCGAGGCAGGGTGTGTGCTTAGCATGGGTGAGGCCATGTGCTGCGTCCCCTTCAGGACTTTTTCCAGACCTCCCGGTGTGCAGTCTGGTGTGGGAGCCAGAGACGTGGACACGGAGGTCGATTCTCAGAAGTCAGGCTGAGAAGGGCCAGGTGGTCGTCTGGGAGGAGAGTGTGGAGTGAGCTGCCACTGGGGTCCCCTCCCTTGGTGTCTTCTCACAGTTCAAGCCCAACCATAAGGCCTGCCGTGTGGCCTTGGGCAGGGTCCCTCCCTCTGGGTCAGTTTCCTATGGGACTGAAGGGACTATGGGTAGCTTTAAGATAAGGATCGGAATCCTCCCTGCCCCCAGCCTCCTGCCCTGCCCTCCTCTGGCTTCGGCAGCAGGGATTTATGTAGTTTTCAGAAAGCTCGATGCTCCCTCCGCCTCAGCCTTTGCAGGAGCTGCCCTGTCCACACATCCTTTGTCCTCTGCCCTGGTTAGCCATGCCTGTCACCCCCTTCATTTGGCTTAAAGGTCACTTCCATGGAGAAGCCTCCTGTGACTACCCCGCACTGTGGTCAAGGGAGGTTTCTTTCCTCACAGAGCAGGGGTCTCAGTGGACCCCACACACCGAGGGCCCACTATTGATTAGGGAGTGTGCTCTGCTGGATGTCGGTCCTCGGCTGACATCCACGTCCACATTCCTTCCCACCCCAGGTAGACACAGAGCAGGTACCAGGTACCAGTGACGCCAAGTAAAATGGTAAATGTTGGGGAAACGCAGCACCATGTGGTCACTCTTCTTAAGCCCCTGGGAAGAGAAACCCATGGAGCTTAGCCTCCCCTGCCTCAGTTTCCCACTCGGTGCGGGGAGAGGCCTTGTGGCCCGGTGTGATGCTGGTTCTGCACTGGCCGCTGTGTGACTCTGAGCCTCAGTTTTCTCAGCTGTGAAACAGGGATGACAGTGCCTCAAGGATGGTCGGGCTCAAGGTGCTCCCTCCAGACGTGCTTAGAAGGGAAGTGCTCAGTTATAAAGAAGGTGGAGCACGGGACGATTCCCCTGGAGCCACCCCTCTGTGGTACGCCTCTGCTCTGGATGTCATCTGCGGCCCCTGTCCTCTGCGGGTAGAGGACGTCCACATTTCTCAAAGGCCCAGACAGCCCCTCTTGGCTGAAGGCCTGGGCCTCCAGTGTGGAGGTCAGCAGCACTGGTCAGTAGGAGCCAGATTTGACTTTCATTCTGGTTTGGCCTCAGTATCTGAGGAATCTTGATCAGCTTAATTTGCCTCTGGGCCCAGTTTTCCGTCTGTGAAATGGGAATGATAACTGTAGTGTTCCGAGGCTGTCCAGCTGAGGCATGTGAGGTATGCAGTAAGAGGGACCCCGCAGCGCCTCCCCTTGCTCCCTGCCCCCAGCAGTCAGCCTCCCCTCCAGCCTGACCCTGTGCCCCCAGTGACGCTCCCAACCTGGGGCTTCTGTCCTCCTAAAGTCCTGTGCCATCCCACCCCATCTCAGCACCGCCACGCCCTCCCTGCAGCTGGGGCCTGGCCCATCCTGCTTGCTGTCCACTCGGCCCTCGGCCTGGGAGCCACCCTCTGCGGACACTGTGGCCACCGGCCCCCGCCCTCCCATCACACCCGCCCCTCCTTTCCTCACATACCATCCAGGAAAGGCCTTTTGGATGATCTGGAGTAGAGGAAAGGGTGGGATTTCTGGGTGCAGGGGTGCATGCCTGCAATCCCAGTGACTTGGGAGGCCAGGGCAGGAGGATCGCAAGTTCAAGGCCAGCCTGGACAACTTAGCAACCCCCTGTCTCAAAAAGAATAACTAGAAAGGGCCGGGCTGTAGTTCAGTGGTAGAGCACCCTGGGTTTAATCCCTGGTGCTGCGCATCAAGCCAAAAAAAAGCCAGAGGGATTTTTTTTTTTCTTTGTCACAAGTGATGCCACGATGTCTCCCTGCCTTGTGTCCCCAGGGCTCCCTTCACTGTCCTGGGCTTGAAATCCAGGCTCCGTCCAGAGGCCCTCAGGCCTCCTCCCCACTTGCTCTTCCTCCCGATCACAGTGGTGACCTTCCCCTCTGCCCTCCATGTCCCCAGAAATTGCCCCCGCCGTGTCCCCCCATCCCCACCATTCCACCGAAAGCTCTTATGATTCCAAAGCCCGTTCCCTTAGAAGCAGGAGGGTGTGGGTGTCCACCATGCCCCTCCTCCACCCGGGCTGCTGCTGTTCCTTTGAGATGATGACCAGCCCTCGTAGGTACCAGGCAGGGGCTCCTGTTCTCCGGCTCCGGAAGCTTCCTTTCCCCTGTGGTGGTCACACCCCATTCACAGACCCGCTCCCTGCCCCTCTTGTGCTGCAGGTGATTCTCCTGGTCCACTGGCTGCTGACAACCTGGTGAGTGACTGTGGGAGTCTGCCTGCATGCAGGGGCTCCCCGCTGTGCTGTGTCTGCGGGTGTGTGCCCTTGCATCTCCTAGGGGCTGTGTCCGCGTGTCCCCAGGTCCGTGTCAGCCTGGGCAGGTCTGTCTGCTGTCTTTTGGTCAGGCCACTTAGGGCAAGCCGCAGTTCCCCACGGAGCCTGCTTTCCATCTGTGCAGTGGGGTAAGGACAGGGCCCCGCAGGAGTGGGAGGGAGAACACAGCTCCTCGGGCACCCCCAGGGCCTGCAGAGACACAAGGCTCCAATGGGGCCAACTTGGCACTTGCTGTCACCTCTTTTGTGTCTGTGGAGTTTCCTGGGGCGTCTCTGCCAAACCAAGACGGGAAACCTTAGAGCTCACGTGTGCATTTTGCAAACTTCCAAGTGCAGTGCACGTGCAGATGGCTGTGAGGGACATACACAGCGAGAACAGCTCAGGTGCAGGTTTCCCTGTCACTCTCCTGGAGCCTCTGAGCGGGCGAGCCTGGGCGGAAGCCGGGCACCTGCTTTCCTGACACCCTGAGACGAGATGATTTAGTCAACCGCTTATGGCGCCCAGCTGCCTGCGCCCCAGCTTCTCTGCACAGGTTTCCTGCATGTGACACTCTGTGAACATCATTTAAATTTATGAAGCGACCGCAGCTTGCTGGCCATGGAGGCCCCGGGGAGGCAGACTGAGGCTCCAGGGAGGCGAGACGAGCAGGGCCTCTGCAGGCAGGCTGCTCACATCCCAGCCCCACCTCTTAGCCGCGGAGTGACCTCGGGTGGTCAGTCTCTGAGAGCCCAGGATAATAACCATGCCTCCCCCAGGACAGAGTGGAAGGCGCAGAACCGCGCAGGGTCCCACGGAGGGCCCTGGGTTAGCAGGTTTCCATTGGATTACCAAGCAAACCAGTAAACACCCTGTCAGACAGCGGCAGTGCACTGTAGGGTAGAGCGGATGTCGCATTAGGGAACTCATACTTAACGCTGGGCAGTAAGGGACAGGGTCTTGGAGTTGACATCTGAGCTGAGACTAAATCACCAGGGCTGAGTGTCCGGGGAGCTGCACAGGGCTGGGCTAGGGAGGTGAAGGTGGCGGTACTGGCCAGATCCCCTGGGGCACTCGCCCAACCCCACAGGCCCTGGTGAAGGGTCTATTTTATTTCAATGGGAGAGAAAACGGTGTTTTTAGCAGAGGAGTGACCATCGGATTCACACGCTGACTGCATTTTCGAGAGTGGTTTGCGGGGCCAGGAGTGCCTGCATGGAGACCCTGGGGGGAGGCCGTGCCCAGTCAGGAGGGGTGAGGTGACTTGCTGATGCTTGAAGTGCAGCCAGCTGGCCTTGCAGACTGGGGCCTGTTCTCTGAGGAGGCCTGGGACGCTGGAGCAAGGGGGAGGTGACTGTGGAAGGGCGGGCAGCCGCAGGGCAGTGGCCACCTGACGGACAGAGGTCTCTCCCACAGGGGCTGCATCGGGTTCTCGGGCTCCTATGCCTGGGCCAACTTCACCATCCTGGCCCTGGGCGTGTGGGCCGTGGCTCAGCGGGACTCCGTGGACGCCATAAGCATGGTGAGCAGGAGGGACGTGGGCTGGGCTTAGGCTCTGCCGCCTCTCACCTGCCCCGGTTCTCTCTCTTCCTTGGTCCCCCATTTTCAGCCTCCAGGCTGCCTGTCCACCTGCCTGCCAGCTGGCCAGCTCCCTGCTGGGTGCCCTGGGGAGCCCATGTCTGTATTGCTTTTCCCAAGACAGACCCAGGGAGGGGCCCAGCAGTGCCCCAGATGGGCCACTCCCCCAGGTGGGCTGACCTCTGACAGCTTTTTCATCACTGTGATCGAAAGACCTACAAGAACAATCAGAGGAGAAGTATTGGGGGGCTCCCGGTTTCAGAGGCCTCAGTCCATCTCTGGGGCTGGAGGTGAGGCAGGACATGGAGAAGGGTGTGGTGGAGGGAAGCAGAGGGACTCCACTCACCAGGGACAAAATAAATACCCCAGAGCCATGCCCCCAATGCCCACCCCCTCCTGCCTCCAGTTACCACTCTAGGGGTTAGCGCCCTGATTGGGTGAGGGCCTCCTGACCCAGTCACGGCACTTCTAAGCCTTCTTGCATTGCCTCACGCAGGAGCCTTGGGGGGACATCTCACATGTAAACCATGACACCCTCCTTGGGGGGAGAGGGAAGGTGGCTGGGAGACCTGGCCAGGAGGGAGCTCCCCTTCTGCACTGAAGTTAGAATCGACCCAGCCCCCACCAGCCCCGCCCCAGCTTTTTCCCCCCAGCTCTTCCCGTGGGGCCGCAGCCTCTCAGTGGTAGAGAAGGGTTCCTTTGTGGTGGCCATGTGTCCGGGAGCTCCAAGGGATCTTCCAACTTGGAGGTTTAGACCAAGTCTTTGACCCCGTCGCGGCCTGGGGAGGTGGAGTGGCACTGCTGGCGCCTCCCCAGTGTCCTCTCCGAAGCCCTGCAGGCTGCAGGCGGGCGGCTCTGCTCCCCTCCAGGTCCTGCCTGCTGGCCGACATCTCTACAGCAAAGCCCCAGGAGCAGAGGGCAGGAGCCAGGCTTCTGGGCTGGTGTATGCAGAGGAGGAGCCGCGTGTCCGAGGGGGCCGGGCAGTGCCCCCAAACCTGTGGCTGTGTGTCTTGCAGTTCCTGGGGGGCTTGATGGCCACCATCTTACTGGACATCATCCACATCAGTGTCTTCTACCCACTGGTCGCCACCTCGGACACAGGCTGCTTCAGCGCCGGCATGGCCATCCTCAGCCTGCTGCTCAAGCCCTTCTCCTGCTTCCTGCTCTACCACATGTACCGGGAGCGTGGGGGCGACCTCCTGTCCCACGGTGAGCCTGCCTCCAGCCGCCCCAACTCCCCCTGCCGTGGCCCTTGCCCACGGGCCTGGGGCTCCAGCGCAGGCAGGAGTGTGGTGTGGCTCCCCACCAGGCTGGGTGTGCACTTCCCTGGTCGCTGCTCCTGGGCCACGGCCATCACAGTCTGGGGTGGTCTCCTCGCTGTCGGGCTTCACAGGGTCGGGGGCAGCAGCCTCAGGCTGGCCTTCCCTTGGTGCAGAGCACGGGCAAGGCAAGGTGTGAGCCACTTTCCAGAGCCCCTCCCCTGTGCCCACCAGCCCTGCTGTCCTGACATGCGGGTCTCTTTGATGGATGGTGTGAGGTGTCCGGGGAGAGCTAGGGTTGCTGGGGCCTGGGGACCTGGGGGAAGCCAGCACCAAATGGCAGTCACTTCCTGTGGGCAGCCATCTCGCCTCCTGCCCAGCCCCACCCCCAGAAACCCTTTCCCCCCCTCTTCCATGGGGGCTGAGCCATTTTCCTGTTCCCTCTGACACCTCCTTTTGCACTCTGGGTGGAGGTGGGGCGGGGGCTTCCATCTTTGCTTTGGGAAGAGGTGCAGGTGGCCCAGGGAGCTCTGGGCAAGTGTAGGAATGGTCCTCACTGACCTCAGCACCGCCCAGCCCTGCCCCAGGAGATAGACAAGGAGACCAAGGCCCCCAGCCTTTAGGACGTGCTTGAACGCCCAGGACAGATGTGCAGAGGGGGTGGGAGTGAGGCGTGCGGGGCTCTCGGAGGCTGCTGCCCTGCCTGGTGCCTCCAGCTCTGGTTTTCTGGGTGCGGCAATAGCGCCAGTTCCAGAGCCGCCGGGGTACGGGGATGTGGTGTCCCTGTGCCTGGGAGAGGAACTGGAAAGAAGTCCATGGGTCCAGGCTGGGTGTCCCTCAGATTCCTGAGCATGTGCTGCTCTGGGAAGCGTGTGCCCTGGAGACGGAGCGCTGGCCCCAGGGCCCAGCGTCGGGGATGTAGAGCTGAATGACTTCAGGCAAGTCTTTGACTGCTTCCTCGGCAAAGTGAGGCCGTGAACACACCTGCTCCGGGGCATGCTAGAGGCTCATAGGTGCTGCCACTGTCCACTCTCCCTGGCATCAGGATGCCCAGCCCTGGCCTTGGACGGGGGATGGATCTTGGTTTGGGCTCAACAGAACGTCTCCCAATTTCTCACTCTTGTTTTTTTCTTTCCTGCCACCACCCCCCGCCCCCAGATTTCCTTGGACATTCTCAGGAACATAGTGCCTACCAGACAATTGACTCCCCAGAGCCACCTGCGGACCCCTTTGCAGTCCCAGAGGGCAGAGGTCAAGCCACCCGAGGGTACTGAAGCAGCCCCCGTGCCAGCCCTGCTGCAGCACCTTCCTGGTGCCCGGGACATCCTGGTCCCCGACCTCCCTTCCTTGGACTCCCTTCCTTGGGCCTCACATGGAATGTGTCTCCTGGTCCCTGCTGGAATCAAGTGCCCTGAGAGGCCAGGAGCCCCTGTGGCTTCCAGCCCATGAACACACCTGTCCTAACCTCCAAGGCCTCCCCTCCCCTCAAGTCTCCCTCGTCCCTAGGCTGGAACCCTGGCTTTCTCTGCCTCCCACTGTGCCACGCAGACCCTGGGGCACGTCACTCCTGGGTGTGGCTGGGTCAGGCCTCTCAGGACCAGTGATGGCCACCTCCCCAGGCCTCCCCAAGTCTGTGTCATCCTTCTGCAGAATGCTGAGCACTTCAGGTCGCTCCCAGCTCCGGACCTCATCCAGCGTGGCACTGAGGTCCTGTGCTCAGGTCACTTGATGCGGGGCCCCGGGCCTAGAGGCAGGAGGTGTCTGCAGCGCCCAGCAGCCACCACAGCCTGCAGAGCGAGGCATGGAGATCTGAGGACGTCCGTGGCCAGGCTGCATCTTATGCCACTCTTAATCTCCTGGCTGTGCTGGGCGGTTTCTCCTTGGACACCCGGTAGAGCCCGGCTCGGCTCGGCCCGGCCAAGGCCACAGCTGAGAAGGCGCTGGGCAGTGCACGGGACCTGGATCAGAGGACCTGGCGTTGGCTCGAACCCTCCTCTGCCACTTAGTACCTTCAGTGTCTCCCAGGAAGGGCTGATCTTGCCTGTCCAGAGCCAACTGTGATGTTCAGGTAAAGTGAGCGGCCCAGGCAGGACGCCTGCGTGACAGCACGCTGTCCACAGTGAGCTGCTCCCTGAGCCAGTGGTACTGTTGGGTCTGGAGGCAAGGGGTGGCCTTGTCCTGCAGCCCCTGTGTCCTGGCCACAGACTGACTCATGTCCAAGAGCTCCTTGGATCCCAGGGCCAGGGCTCACCTCACTTGAGGCCATTAAGAGCTTGCTCTTCTGTCCCCTGGGCCCAGGTTCCTGGGCTTCTGGAGGGGCGCAGCTCTACCCGGCAAGGGCTTGGGCCCACAGTGGGGCCCTGGTGCCTGCTCTCCAGGGAAGGCAGGCTCAGAGTCATCAGGAGGATCCAGGCTGAGGCAGGAGCCCTGAAAGGAGGAGCCCTCTGGGCAGATGGGGGAGGCTGCTTGGGGCCCGGGGACAACGGGTGGCCAGGGCTATGAAAGCCTGGAAAGAGCGCGTCAGGAGACAGCGCATCGGCCACGGTCCACTCACCGCCTGGGACACCACCTGGCAGTTACAGTGAACGGACCTGACCACGTGCCACCGCTGCTCCCAGATGTGAACAGACTGCAGAAGGCGGGTGCAACAGGAGAGCGCTGGTGTACCCCTGAAACACCACGGCACGCCCGTTCCGCTCTTGGGTGTGCACGCAGAAAGGGGTAAAAAGATGAGCTGGAAGACACATGTCAGCTTCATGACTGCAGCGGCCTGGGGGAGGGTGCTGTGGCCGAGAGCAATGGGACTCAGAGGCCAGTCCTTTCCTCTTCTCTCGTGGGTCCCTGGACCAGGAAGGCCTGCAGGTCCACGCTCTCTGACAGGAGTGGGCCAGGCTTTCATGGGAATGAGAGGGAGGCACGGCCTGGCTTTGCAGCAGGAGCAGCCCATGCAGAGCCTGTGCGCAGCAGAGGGGACAGTACATGACAGACCACAGTTCCTTGTCCCCATCCCCCAAGTTTGACCCACTCTCTGGGGGAAGGGCCCGAGGAGGCCTGCTGTCTCAGGAGGGGTTCCCCAGAAGCCAGCCGAGGTAAGGGCCAGGAGCTGGGCTCTCTCAGTCATACCAAGGGCAGCCCTGGGGGCGGGGGCAACTCTGGAATTTTTGTTTGTTCAGGTGCTGGGGTGGAACCCAGGTCTTTCTGCCTACGAGGCCGGGCTGTCTCATGAACCACAACCCCAGCCCGTGTCCGCCATTCTAGCAGCGTCAGCCACAGGAAGGAAACTCCTCTAGCCTCTGGTCACCTCTCGCCTCTGGCTGGTCTTCTGGCTCTAAGAGGTCTCCTGAAAGCGCTTGCACTGCAGGCACGGTCAGGGCGAGATGGTTAGGTCATGAGAGCTGTAGCTTGACCCCTGCGATGGAGGAATGGTTAGGATGCACACTGCGAGGTACCTGCAGGCCCGGTCACTGGGGCATGCCTTGGGGATATGTCTTGCCCGTGGCTCCTCCCCCTCCCTCTGCTTCCCAGCTGCGGTGAGCGGAGCAGCTTCTCTCTGCCATCCCTTCCCCCGACCCGGATGTTCTGCCTCACCTTGGGCCCAGAGCAGTGGAGTCAGCCAACCAAGGACCTAGACCCTGGGCACAAAACAGACTTCCTCCTCTGGGTTGCTCCCACCAAGCACTTTGGTCGGTCACAGCAACACAGAGGTGACATGCACTCCTGGAGAGCTGAAGTCACTTGTCCGGTTTGGACATCATCTTGTTTTCATAAAGTGGAGCCGACCACAGGATGAAGCCAGAGAAACTGCTTCAGAGCAGGTCCCTGCCTGTCCCTGTTGGACAGGCCTCACCACGGGCCTGTCTCCAGAGTCTCCAGAATGGCTCAGAAGTCCCAGCTCTCGCAGCCTGTCTCCAAACTGGCTCTAGAGCTTGTAGCCTTGATTTAAATCCCAAATGAACCCTGGGACCAGCTACATAAGAGATGACAGTCTCTGAACCTCACTGTGCCTTAGTTTCCTGATAGAAAAAAATGCATAACTCAGGGATTAGGGAGGCTTGAAAGTGGTGTATAAATGTTTAATAAATGTCCATCTCATTGCCTGTATGACCATGCAATTATTCAGAGTGAGGAAGGGGGTGACCAGTCTGTCTGCTTATCCAAACATCTATTCATTTATTATGAGTTTACAAACATTTATTGAGTGTTTTCTACAAGCTTTCAGAAGAGAGGGATATTTTCAGGAAGCAAAACAGGTTATCCTCACTGGCCAATGCAGAGCTCTGAGGTCCAGGTCTCCAGGTGCTTGGTGGTGTGGGCACAGCCGTAGTCCAGAGACTGCAGAATCTATGGGTTGTCATAAAACATCCAAATCAAAACTCAGAATCACAGGTTTGAGCTTGAGGAGAGCTTAGAGCTCTGAGATCAGTGACTTAAAAAATGTTTTATAGGGCTGGGGTTGTGGCTCAGTGGTGGAGCATTTGCCCAGCATGTGTGAGGCACTGGGTTTGAGTCTCAGCACCACATATAAAGTTTATCAACTAAAAAATAATTTAAATTTCTTTTAAATCTGTTTTATTTCAAACTTTCTTCAGAAGAATACCTATTATCCAGAATGTAAAAGAGCCAATATGACAGCACCCTCCTTGCTGCCAGGGAACCTGTGGCTCCCCGGCCCACAACATGGAAACTGGGGACAGGCCCAGAAAGAGGAGCCTTGCTCCCAGAGCTGGACGGTGGTGATATGGAGCTTGGGAAGCCGGTGGAATTTTAAAAGAAGGGAACAGAACTTTAAAAATGGAAAACGATCGAAATCAGAAACTCAATGGCTAGGTTCCTTCATAGAATAGACGACACCTGAGGAGAGAATCGGGGGGCCTGAAAGATGTGAGGACTCCACCCAGAGACGGAATGAATGAAAGAGAGGTCAAGAAACGGGCTGGAGGGAGAGACACAGAGACGCGGTGCTGGTTCCTGAGGAGTTGAGGGAGGGGAGCAGCGTTCAGAGAGAACGACAGAACGTTTTCAAAGGGGAGAGGGCAAAGCTCAAGATTCAGGGAGCCAAAAACCTCCAAAGAGAATGAAAAGAAAACCCCCATTTGCAGCCATCGGCATGGGACGCTGTTCATAAGGACACGGTTCCTTCCCCGCTCGAACGCCAACACAGTGATGAAGGGGCCTGAGGAAGGCTTTGGAGGAGCTGTGGGGTGCAGGGTTGGGGGAGGTGCAGTTGTTGCCAAACCAGGCTCACTTTGCCCGCCACGGAGGATGCCAATCCCTGAAGCCAGGAGTTTTGTGGAAAAGCAGAGTCAGGAGGCAGCCAAGCATGTGGAGATGGGACGGGATCTCACTCTGGCTGCCCAAGGCTGGGGCGGGGGATCTTCATGGGCTGAAGCATGGGGAAAGTGACTCGAGGTTAATCAAGAGCAGGTAAAGCAGCTAGAGGGGATCAACTGTCACCATCCTGACCCACACATCTGCAGTCAACTCAAAGCAAGTAACTTAGAGCAGGTGACATCTAGAGAGTTTATTCAGGTTTTCTCTCAACTCACAGTTTCCAAGCCCAGTAGTGGTAGTGGGGGGGAAACAGAAGAAAAAAGAAAACCTTGATCACTTCTTAAAAATGCCAAAAAAAAAAAAAAAAAAAAAGAAAGAAAGAAATTTGACCACTGGCAAGCACAATAAAATAAAAGAGTCGAATCTGCCCTGGGTGGTGCGTGCCTGTGATCCTAGTGACTCAGGAGGCTGAGGTAGGCGGTTGCAAGTTCAAGGTCAACCTCAGCAACTTAGGCCCTGGCTTAAAATAATAAAAAGGGCTGGAGATGTGACTCAGTGGTAAAGCATCCCTTAGGTTCAACCCCAGCACCAATTAAATTAATAAGTCCTAATCATACATTTGTATGCGAATTAAACTTTCTGCTTAAAACACAGTAATGTCAGCTCAGATTTTTAAAACAATTCCAGATATATTGTGTTTACAACTGACACATCTACAATATATGAACCCAGGATGGCCACAAGTATGAAAAGTTATACCAAGCAAATAAAGATCAAGATAGAGCTGGTGTAGCTAAAGTAACATCAGACAAACTTGACTTTAAGGCAAAAAGCACTGGTGGAAGTAAAAGAGGGACAAAAATCTAAGGAACAAAAGGTCCCACCCACCAGGTTTAGGAAGAGAGATCTGACTCAAAGCTTGTGCAATCCCCTGGTTTCAATCCCCAGTGCTGAAAAACAATGAAAAATAAGTTTAAAAGAAGAAAGCAGTAATTATCCTTCCTTCAAAACTTGCCTTAGAGTATAAAGGTTCTTTGGCACTTATTTGTTGAACACTGACTCCCAGATGATACCAAGAAGGCTGGTGAGGTAGGCATTACCACCACCCTTTCACAGAGGAGGAGCCTTCAGTTCAGAGAGGTTAAGGACTTGCCTAAAGTCGCCCAGCAGCCCAATACTCTGGAGCACAAGTCTTAAGACTCGGATCCCAGTGTTCTTTCCTCTCCCCGCGGGTGTTTTAAAGGAGAGAGCATCCAATCTGCACGGAGGGAAGAAAGGCGTGGCACAGCGCAGTGGGCAACAGCGTGGGCAAAGGCTTGGAAGGTGGAAAATGCAGGAGGAAGGTTTGGAAGCTGGAGGCAAGTGACTGCGCCACACTCACCGCAGAGGAGGTGGGACTGGGTGGATTCCAGTCCGTTTTGGAGGGAACTCACGCAGGAAGCAAGAAGGTTGTTCCGGGTCAGGTGCCTCGAAATGGTACGCACAGGGCCTGGGCCGGTACCCTGGTGCAGACACTGCGCAGAAGCCGTGCCCCAGTGAACCCGGGCCCACGCGAGCGCAGACCTGCGGCGGGGCCTGGGGCGGGTACCTTTTATAAAATGTAAAAAAAAAAGGGCTGGGGGTGTGGCTCCCGAGGTGCTGTGGGCGGGGCCTTGTGGGTGGGGCCTGGGGCGGGTACCTTTATTAAAATGTAAAAAAAGGGCTGGGGGTGTGGCTCCCGAGGTGCTGTGGGCGGGGCCTTGTGGGTGGGGCCTGGGGCGGGTATCTTTTATAAAAAAGGCCTTCGGTGAGGGTGTGGCTCGGTGGGTGTGGCTCGGTGGGCGTAAAGCTCAGTGGGGTGTGGCTCCGTGGGGTGTGGCACCGTGGGGTGTGGCTCGGTGGCGGTGGCTCGGTGGGGGTGTGGCTCGGTGGGGGGGTGGCTCTGTGGGGGGGGCGGGGGGGGGGTGTGTCTCGGGGGGGGTGGCTGGGTGGGGGGGGGGGGGGGGGGCCCGCGGGCTTGCTCACGGAGTTCGCGCACCACCTGTCTTGGTCGTTAGCGGCCAGCTGCTGGGGTCCCCTTCAGATTCAAACCGTACTGAGCGAGGAAGGAAGATTGCTGCACGTGAGGGCAGGAAACCGCCTGCTGTCTCTTGGTGGGAAGAGGAGGCTCTGAGTGTCCTGGAGTGGAGAGGGATGGGGCAACGCGGTGAGGGGAGCAGAGATGGTAGATGGACCCAGGCCGGGCGGGTAGGAGGGGATCCTGTGGACTGAGCTGTCTCCAGTCAACTTTGGCAGGCGGCGGGGGAGGGGCAGACCTGGCTAGACGTCAGCCCTGGTTTGGCCCCTCTGCAGCTGCTGACCAGTTAGCTGTAGCCTGGCGCTGGACAGGTAGGCCTGCCAAGTATGGTCATTTCTAAAACCCGGAACCTAAGTCTTAGGGCTTCAGGGCTTGCTGAAGGCTGAGCAGTGCTTAGGTGGTTCAGTCACTGAAGGCGCGTTTATAAGCCCTACTCTGGGCGCCCTGCTCTCATTAGTCCTGCCAGTACAGCAGGGGACAAGACAGTGGTCCGTTCTCATGTGGCTCCGTGCACTAAAGGAAGAAATGGTGATTCCTTCAGTACTGTGGGTGGTGGCACCTGCCATGGAGGAAGATAATGCCAGGTAAAGAGAGTAGGAGCCGATAGGGTGCTGCAGTTGGGGAGAGAGCCGTGGAGGAAAGGCTTGCTGGACTTTTGAGAAGGACTTGAAAGCATGAGGGAAAGAGAGTTCCAGAAAGAGGGAACCACCAGTGCAAAGGCCCTGTGCTGGGAGCATGCGTGGCATGTTGGCGAAACAGCCAAGCCGATGAGTTTGGAGCAGAGTGAGCGAGGCGGAGAGGAGCAGGGCTGAGGTCAGGAAGGTAACAGAGTCAGCCAGCAGAGGCCAGCACACCTCCTGAATGTCAGTCAGTAAATATTTTGTTTGGGGTTTTTTGGTTCCAGGGATTGAACCCAAGGGCGCTTAACCACTGAGCCACAGCCCCTGCCCTTTTCTATATTTTATTTTGAGACAAGGTCTCCCTGAGTTGCTTAAGGCCTCACTAAGTTGCTGAGGCTGGCTTTGAACTTGGAATCCTCCTGCCTCAGCCTCCTAGCTGCTGGGATTACAGGTGTGCACTGCTGCAGCCAGCTAAGAGAGTAAATGTTTTAAGGCTTTGTTGGCCTGAAGGTGTCTGTGGTGACTGTTCAACTCCACCATTACAGCCTCAAAGCTGACCGTCCATAAGCAGATGGATATGGCTTTGTTATGTGTAATACAAGTCATGCCCTGGTCACAGTGTGCCAGCTCCTGCCACAGGGCCTGGAAGGCCTTGGCAGTGCATGGAGAGGGCTAGGCGCCACGGGATGTCTGAGTTGAGGCAGGGTAGATCTGATCTGAGTGTTCCAGCATCACTCAGGCTGCTGTGTGGGGAGTTAGATGTCAAGGGAGGACACAGAGTAGAGGCAGGAGGCCCAGTTGGGAGGTAGAAGGTGGTGGAGGCTTACCCAGGGAGGTGCAGGTGGAGGCCATGCCCAGGCTCATGTTTTGGATACTTGTGGAAGGTGGACTGAATTGGATGACTGAGGGCGTGAGAGAGGGGGGGAAGCCAGGTGGCTCTGGGAGAGAGCTTGTTTGGAGGTATGCAGGAATTGGGATTTGAACCTCCTGATGAGGAGATGGCCATTAAACATCTGGCAGAGGTGTGGAGGAGGTGTGGGTCTCACTGGTTGGTCTGCTGGCCAGTGGACAGGTCTGGGGCTAGGCGAGGCCATGCATACCCTGAGGCTGAGACCACAGGGTAGGGCTCAGCCCTGGCCTTGCCACCAAGGAGGCATCAGCAGAGGAGCCTGGGAAGAGCCTGCAGGGAGGGGGAAGGGGACCAGAGAGGAGGCATCCTGGGCTCAGCTCAGGGAGGCCTCCAGAAAGGACCACCTGCCCTGTGCCCCCGAGGCCTCCAAACCCCAAGTGCTGAGAGCTGAGGTCTTGGTGTTCACCTGGAGGAGCGCAGCTTGGCCGGGAGCCGGGGCAGGCCAGATGGAAGTGAGGTCAACGTGGTGGGCGGGGCGGACTGGGGTGTGGGTGTGATGGCCAGGTGAGGAGATAGATGGCCCAGGACCTGTGGGTGTGTGCGCGCTCGTGTGTGTGTGTGTGTGCGTGTGTGTGTGTGTGTGTGTGTGAGTGTTTTATTTATTTGGACTTGTTTCTTTGGTCCTGAGGATTGAATCCAGGACCTTGCACTATTTTAGTGGGTTTTGTTTTTTTTTTAATATAGAAGTTAACCATCTACATGTGAAATGATTCAGTAAGGCAGGGGGCAGTGCTAGAGGGCGGGGAGGGGACTTCTGAGCAGTAGGGGCTGACATTGCAGCCTTCACAGTTAGTGATCAAGCATATAATTCCCCCCCAGCCCCCCCAGCTGCTGGGCTGAGTCTGCCAGGGGCCCATGGTTGCCCCGGGTGCTTTTCCCGACTCACAGCGAGGCCCCTGGAGGTGGTGGGAAGACACCATGAGTGCAAGGTGTGGCGGTCGGGCTGGTCGTTGCAGGAGGTGCAGGGGACAAGGAGGAGTGAGGAGCAGGTCCTGGAGGGAAAGGACTGGAGTCTGATCCTCCGGCAGGGTCTGGAGGCTGGAGGCCAGAGGACAGGACTCTGAGCAAGGCCATCAGGGCTTTGTCCACTTTCACCTGCTCAGGTGCAGCCCAGGGCACAGGTGGCCGCCTTTACCCAGCCTCTTAATTTTGCCAAAAGACTGGGACAGTAGGAGGGAGGGGCTGGGGGGATCACATGCTTGATCACTAGCTGTGAAGGAGGGAGAGATGTCAAAGGGATGAGGGCATGTCTGAGGGCCAGGGCAGTTGGGTCAGAGGGTTGGGTCTCGTGACAGGAAGGACTGTTGGGCTTGGGACGCTGGAGGGAGTGAGCTAGAAAGACAGGGAAAGGACGGGGGACCTGGGGGCAGGTGGCTGAGATCAGGTGAAGGACAGGATGTTGGGAGAGGAGAAGGTCAGGGAGTCTGGGTGGATGGTGACTCACCAAGAATTCAGACAGGCGTGTGCTGGGAAGGTGACCATGAACCGAGCAAGAGCTGAACTCTTAAGCCTCAGGGTGAGCCCTGACGTCCTTCCCTGGCCACTCAGCTCGGAGCCAGGGGGTTTCAGAGGAGGGAGGGGAGTGGTTTGGAGGAGGCACCAGGAAGCTGAGGGGGCTGTCCCTCCTCCAGGTCACACTGAGGGGCTGTCTGGAATGAGAGTCCCTAGGGGATGTGTGATCAGTGTGAGGAGCGCTGGGCCAGGGGACACCCGGCAACTATGGGGAGAGGGGGGGACTGAAGGGCAGGAGAGGAGACCCGGGGCTCAAGCAGTGAGTGGCCGTGGCCAGGCAGGGGGAGCTGCTGCGGGGTGGAGGTGCGGAACAGGGCACTCACGGCCACACTACCTTGTCCTGTCCCTGCAGAGCCCATGGGACTTGTCTGTGCTTGTTGGGGTGCTGGGGAACCCAGGGCCTTGTGCGCGCCAGGCATGTGCCCCACCACGGAGCCCCCCACGCAGCCCATCTGATTGAACAGGCCAAACCGTCCATTGTGGTGTGAACTGAGGACACAGCTGTCCCCACAGTCCATGGAGCCAAGACTTGTCACCAGCTATAAGGAGAATGTGCCCCCAGGGCCTGCAACCCCCAGGAGGCCAGGCAAGAGGCTTCAGTGGGCCTGGGCAGGGTCCCCTCTAGGGACAGACTCAGCCCCTTCCCCAGCAGGCCTGAGGGTGGGTTTCCCAGGGTTGGCTGGGCCTCTGACAAAGTCTCCCCAGCCTGGGGCCTGAGGGGCATTTCAGGCAGGACCAGGAGTGGGGCTGGCTGGTGCCCCTGGCTGAGATGCCAGGGTTGGTGGGCAGGGGCCCTCCCTGCTCTGGCTCAGGGGCTGTGAGACAGTGGGGACACTCTGCACGCTGAAGAGGGGCCTTGGGGACTGGGGAAGGGCTCCGAACCCCACTGCACATCCCCCCCGAGTTGGCCTCCAGCTGCCTTCCCCCAGCCTGTGACCCCTGCCTGTGGCCCCAGCCTGTGGCACCCATTGTCTCCACTTGAGCCCAACATTGAGGGGGGGACCCTCCATTATTTTCTTCCCTTTGCCCCCTCTTCTAAGCTACCCTCCCAGTGTATCTGAGTCTTCCCGGTACCCACCTCCGTCCCTGCCGCCGTTACCTCTCAACAGCCTCCTTATTGTGTGTCTGTCCTTCTCTCCCCTCCCCTGTCCATGCTCCATGCAGTCAGGTTTCATGTCAGACCACATCACTTCTTGGCTCTAAGATCCCACTTTCCACCCAGGAGACAGAGCTGCGACCCTGCCCCGTCCCAGCTGAGGCCTGGCCCACCTGACCACTGACCATCTGAGTTCTCCCATGACTGTCTCTCCTCTCTGCAGAGCAACGAAGATTTCTGAGGGGCCTGGAAATTGGCCTGAGCCATGGAAATGGCCAGTCGGTGCCCATATGCCAGGTCACAAGGGGAGGGCCGCCTACCACACCCTCTCCAGGGACGGCACTGCCCCAGGATCCCTGCCGAGTGCAGAGCAACCTGGCCAGTCCTCATCCCCGCCTGGGCCTGCCCCTGAAGGACACGACTTGCTGGCTGGACACTTCAGGCTTCCAGCAACAAAGCAACTTGTGGTCACTGGCTGGGAGGCCCCAAGGGAAGGTGCGAGAGTCCCCTGTTCAGCAGAAGAACTTGCGTGTGGGAGGCACGGGCAGCAGCTCCCTCCGGGAAAGCCACAGGCCGCGGGCTCTCCTGCCCCTCTGCATGAGGCAGGTCCCCGGAGCCACACTGGCCCCCTGCCCCAACTTCAGGCCTGCCACAGGCTTCAGTCCACTGGATGGATGCCCACGGCCAGGTCCCAGAGCCTGGCGTGACCTGGAGAGCCGGACTGGCAGGCTGGTGGGGGAGCCCCTCACCCTGGAGGACTTAGCTGTCCCTGCCCGGAGCCAGGCTCGGGCCCCGCCCCCCATCGCCACCTGCCTGCTGCTGGCCTCCGTGAAGCGCTTGGAGCAAGAGGCCGCTGGCCTCAGGTGCAGGGTGTCCCGGAAGCCCCCTGGCCATGCACCGTGGGGCCCCCACACCCGCCGTGGCCAGACGTTCCCTGCCCGCCCCCAGCCCAGCCAGCCTGTTCACGCTTCCCAGGATGAGAAGAGACGCCCCCGCGGCCTCCTAGAGACTTGGGGGGTCCAGGCGCCCACAGACCCTGGAGCGCTCAGCGAGCCGGAGTCGTTCACCACTGCTCTGGGGACATTCACGGGGAACTTCTTTGACTCTGAGCAGGAGGTCCTTCCCGAGCAGCCCCCAGGACAAGGAGACCAGTGCCCCCCAGAGCCTCCACCTGGCTGGGAGGCCATGGGGATCCCCAGTCTCACTGGAGGGACGGGCAGCTCGGAGGCCAGGCTCACTTCTTCAGCCTCCTCCAGCGCCGCTGGGGACGCCCTCCTTGGGCAGGAAGGAGAGCAGCCCCTGCGGGAGCAGGCAGACAGGGAGGCAGAGAGGACGGCTTCCTGTCCCTCAGATGCCACCTCTTCGAGGAGGAGCGGCCAGCAGGTGGAGGCTGGAGGAGGCTGGGCCAGGGTGGGGCTCCCAGCAGGCAGGGCCTCCTGCTCCCCGGCCTGAGCGCGCTGTTGTGTCCTCTTGCTTCCCCCAGCGCGAGGCCCTTAACGGTGTGACCCTGGAGCCCCAGGCAGCCCGGTGAGGCCATGGCTGTGGTGGGTGGGAGAGGCAGCCTGGGTGATGGCAGAGGCACAGGAGAGGAAATGTCTTCCAGGAAGCCAAAGGGTGTCATTGGTCCCTGGTCCCCGGAGCTCTCCTGCTGGGACTTCTTGTCCAGCTGTCAGCGAGAGGGAGGTTGTCCTGCGTGGCCAGGGCCACCCCTTTGTGACTGCTGGAAAGGCCACACAGGAAGGGCCCAGATGCCGCTGCCCCTGGGGGTGGGAGGGCCAGGTCCTTCCCCAATCAGCCTGGTCTGTCCTCAGCTGGCAGCGGCTGTCCAGATGTTTCAGAGCCTGGAGGCGCTTGGCCTGGAGGCGGTGGGCAGTGACCGTGGCAGTGGCTCTGAGCCGCAGGCGCCTGCTGCGAAAGGGCCTTCAGGCCTTGCGATGGGCCCTGTGGCTCCGGGAGGCACAGCTGGAGGCGGCCTGGGGGCGACACACCAAGGCCCTGCTAGCCCGGAGCTTCCGAGAGGTCAGGGGTCTCCAAGTTGGGCCGGGGGAGGTGATGAGGTCCTGGTGTCTCCTGGGGAGGTTCGTTCAAGGCCATGACCGACACCCCCCGTCCCTTCTCTCTTGATCCAGTGGAGATGCCTGGCTCTGCGGCAGGAGCAAGGGCACCCCCATGTCCAGTCTGTGTCCAGACCCCCTTGTCACGGCCCTTCCTTGGGAAGAGTGGCAGTGGTGGACCCTGCCCAGAGGTGCAGGTCGGCTGGAACCCCCAGGTTGGTCCGTGTGGCCCAGGCGGCTGGCACCCCCACCCTGCCCCTGCCTTGCTGTCCCCTGTTCCTCCTCCCGACAAGAGGAGGACGGAGGAGCAGGTGTGGACAGAGACCTGGGCACAAGCTGTCTTGGAGCATCACTCTGGCCCTGCAGCCTGGGAAGCAGGACTGCGGGGTGCGAGATCGGGTGACCCCCGGGTGCTGTTCATGAGGACTTTAAAAACATTTCCCCTCTTTCTCCCTGTTTCCTCCTTTCCGTCCCTTTACTGGTGCCATTTCCCGTGGTGACAGCATGCATGCTTGATCTAAAAAGAACCCAGGGCTGGGTCTGTAGCGCCCCGGTGGAGCGCCTGCCTGGCCCGGGGCAGGCCCTGGCTCCCAGCCCAGCACAGGGGGAAGTTCTCCATAAAGAAAGAATAAAGCAAGGGCTGGGCTGGGCTCAGCGGAAGGGGGGGGGCGTTTGCCTAGCATGAGCGAGGCCCTGGGTTCAATTCTCGGCACTGCATATAAATAAATAAACTAAAGGTCCATCAACAACTAAAAAATATTTAAAAAGAAGAAGAAAGCAAAAGCAGAACCCGCCGCTCCCAGACAGCTTCTGTAATCAGGAATAAATGCGTTGTCTGGGGCCGGGTGCTCGGCTCCCCCAGCTCCCAGCCCCTGCCGCCAGCTGGAGGGGACAGTGGGGACCCGTGCCCTCCCTCCACTGGGCAGTCTGTTTCTCAGTCCAGGGAGGCAGAGGCAGGAGGAGGGAGCCCGGCCTCGTCCACTGCAGCCTGGGCAGAGAGCGGATGACGGAGACGGGCGAGTCCAGGTCCTGCAGGCCTTGCAGCAGCTGGCAGGTGAGGTGGGGGCCCTGGAAAGGGGGTGTTGGGGACAGAGTGCCCCGGGCAGGCCTGCAGGCCGTGGGTCCTGGGTAAATGAGTTGACTGAGTATTTGTTTTGGCAACTTCTCTGATGGTCTCATTTGGTCCTCACTGTGAGCTCCCTTGGGGAATTCATTGAGCCCATTTTATTCTTGGAGAACTGAGGCCCAGAGAGTGAAGTAATGAGTCTGAGGGCACACAGCAGGTGAGGCACAAACTGTCTTTTTGTGTTTCTGATGCTGATGGAGGCCAAGGCTGGAGGCCTGAACGAAGGGCTGTTCCTCACTTACTCATGGCCCCAGAGCTGGGAAGGCCCGGACAGCGGCAGTCCGGATGTCAGCGGCCCCTCCTGGCCAGATCCTCCCTCGCTCACTTCCTCTTCCCAGTCTCCCTCCTGCAGTACCACCTGAAGGACAGGACCAGGCAGGAGCGGGCGGTCCTGGAGGAGGCACCTGGGGCCCCACAGAGGACTCGGAGGATGGCCAGCCCCCCACGGGCCTGGCACCCAAGTGCTGCAGGTGCCTCAGTGACCTCTCAGCCGCAGAGAGCTTGTCTGCCCAGGTAGGGGACGTGGAGGAGGGTGGGAGTGGGGACACTTGCCTCTAAGTCAACTCCTGACACTGAGAGACAGGAAGCGCTTCCAAAATGAAAACAGCCGCCACTGACCAGCAGGCCTGAGATGGGCCAGCCCAGCCAGGGCGCTCCTGGCCCCACTGCACCCACACCCCAGCAGGACCCCGGCTGCTGGGGGCAGATGGGGACTGAGCCGTCGCAGGTGTATGTGAACACCACCAGGTTGAGGAGGAGGATCACAGAGCTGTACATTTCTTTTTGGTGGGGAGCATCTGCTCTGCTGCCCAGGCTGGTCTTGAACTCCTGGGCTCAAGCAATCCTCCTGCCTCAGCCTCCTGAATAGCTGGGACTGTAGGTGCCACCACCGCCCCCAGCCTGCGGAGCATCTCGCAATACCATCCGCCACGTAAAAACAGGAGCAATGACCTGATCACTAACAAACCCTGGTGGGTGCCGGGCTCCCGATGCTCAGTTTGAAGTCGACACACGTTGTGTGCCTCTGATCTGGGGAACGGCCGCACTGTTGCAGTCGTTTGAATCTGTGATTCCCCCGTGGGGACTTCCCTGAGAACTTTTAACACAGGAAGTGACCTAAACCGGGGTCCAGCAGGGCTGTGAAGGTGGAAAGGAGAGAGCGGGGCCTTGGCCAGGCAAAGGGAAGCGAGTGCACAGAGCCTCCCAGGCGTGGAGGCTCGGAGGGCTCAGGAGGCTCAGGAGGCTCAGGAGCTCAAGAACAGCGTCTCGCAGGGCCTTGGTGGGTGGGACCCGGGAGTGTGGAGAAGAGGTTGGAAAGGCCTGTGGGGCAGGTCACGGGGCCTTCCAGGCCAAGGGAAGAAATTGACATTTTACCCTAAGGGCAAGGTAGTGGCCACTGGAGGGAGAGACTGGTGCGGGCGGAAGCAGCCACTTGGGCTCCCAGAGGTGACAGTGCTGTGGCTGAGCAGGGCAGGCTCCGGTCCTCACAGCAGTTGTCAGGGACAATGGGCAGGTGGCCAGAGAGCCAAAGAAAGGGCTGGAGATAGCGGGAGCCACGAGTTCCTGGGAGAGCTCACAGCAGGTGTGCGGCTGCCCCGTCCGTCTGTGGTGACAGGCCGAGGGACAGCACCTCCAGCCCCACCTTGCTTGCCTGAGCAGCGCCTCCTCTCCCTGGGCCACCTCCTGTCCAGCGGTGGCTGAGTGAATGACACCTTTCAGTTCCACGTCTGTCCCAGGAGGTGTTTGTACCTCAGGCCACAGAGGTAGTGACGTGGCCACCCTGAGCGTGCTGTTGGCTGGCCTGACCAGCACCCAGGGAGCTGTCCCTGTGCACGAGCAAGGAAGCAGCTTCCGCAGATGACCCAACTCGCCTGGCTCCCAGGTGCCTCAGAGGAGCCAGCGTCCTTCAAGATGGCCTGGTCCCTGGGTCTGGACTTCTAAGCCCAGGCCTGCCCTGGCAGTTCCCTCAGTGTGGCTGGGTGTTTGGGGAACAGGAAGGGGCATTCAGGGACACGGTGTTCTACTGCCCCCCTTTTTGGGATAACTCAAGTCCTGTTTCATAGATGAGAAAGCGGAAGCTCGGAAGGGCCAAGGTGCTGGCCCTCCACCCCCCACACTCAGGGGCGTGTCTCCGTGGGGCAGGGGCTGACCACTGTCCTGGCTCTTGTAGGTGCTCGGGGGCCTGGCAACAGCTGGCACCAAGAGGAGCCCAGGTCCAGAACCACCCTGCTGACCCCAGGCTGGAGACCCTGAGAGTGTGCCTGGGACGGTGGGTGCAGATGAAGCAACTCCGAGCCTCAGAGGGCACCAAGGTGACCCGGCTGTCCCTCTGCCTGAAGAAGGCAGGTGAGCGAGTAACGGACAAGAGCAAGGGTCCCCTGACCACTCTGTCACTCCATCTCCCTCTCTGTGGGCCCCAGTGGGATGTGTGAACTCTTACGATGGGAGGTGATAGAAGTGGGGGCTTCTGGGGGCGCAACCTGCTGGCCTGGGGGTGCTCTGGGTGGGGGTGTCCCCAGCGTGGGCCACATTCCTGGTCCCCTACATGAGCTGACCTGGTGTGAGAGGGACTTTCTCCCACTTCCTCCCACAACTCACCTAGTGCCAGGCTGTCCCACGTCCTGCCTGAAGGGACTGGTGCCTGGTGTCAGGAAGCTCCTGGCCTTGGAGGTGCCCTGGAGGGGAGGACGGGGAGGCAGTGGGAGGGCCATGCCCCTGAGGGAGAGGCCCTGGGCCCTGAGGCAGAGGGGGAGGCCCACGGGGAGGGGCTCACCCAGCTCCCTGCCTCTCAGGTAGCTCAAGCCCTGGAGCCACCACAGCCCGAGGCCTTCAGATAGTGGCCCAGGCCCAGGGGCCACCCCAGGGGCCAGGCCAGGGCTCCCTCCAGGAGGCCTGCCGGAGACTGACCCTGACCCAGGCACTGCGGCTGTGGAGGACACGGCTCTGTCAGCACCAGCAGGCTACGTAGGTGCCCAGGAGGGTGGCCTAAGGTTGGCCTGGGCACAGGGTGGGCATAGGAGCACAGGGTGGGCACAGGAGCGCAGTGTCCCACAGGCCACATGGCTCCTCCCTGTGGCCCCATCAAGGGGTGGGCACAGGGGGTCCTAGGCCCTGGGAGGTGGCCAGGTTACCCTGAGCAGGGAGCTGCCAGGGTGGTGGAGATGCCTTCCCAGGACAGCAGGTGCCAGGGTTCAGGTCCCAGACTGACATTTGAGAGTGAGGGGAAGGTGATCAGGAGGGACCGTGCTGCCCGCAGGGATGTCAGAGAAGATAAACCCGGAACTGCAGGATCAAGAATTCCCTCCCGGGCCTGGGGGTGCAGCTCAGCTGGAGAGCTCTCTCCTAGCCTGTGCAAGGCCCTGGGCTATATGCCCAGTTTAACTGGGCACAGTGGCACCTGCCCATGATCCCAACTATTCAGGAAGTTGAGGCAAGAGAATCATGAACTGGGCAACTTTAGAGACCCCATCTCAAAAAAAAAAATCTGTTCTTGAAAGCCACACCTGGTATCAATCATCCCCCCATACACTTGGCCCATTTGGACCCTCAGTCTTTTTTTTAATTAATTAATTATTATTATTATTATTTTTTTTTTTTGGTGCTAGGGATGAAATGGAAATGGGGAAAATCATGCTAGTGAAACAAGTCAGACTCAAAATCAAGGTGGAATGTTTTCTCTCCTGCAAAAACTAGAGCAAAACAAAGGGAAGAGGTGGGGGAGGGATCAGGTTTCATAAAGCTCCAGAAAAGATCAGAGGAGAGGAACTGGAGTGGGGGAGGGAAGGAGGGAGGAGATAAATGGAATGAATTTGACAAAATCATGTTATATTCATATAAAAAGGTACCACAGGGAATTCCATCTTTATGTGTATACCGAAGACGGAAAGGGAGTCTAGCCGAGTGGAGAAGGGGGCAGGGGGAGGAGGGGGGGAAAGGGGAGATGGAGATTGAAATCAAATGATTTTGTCAAAATAAGCCCAAATGTATAATTATAGTGCCCCAATTCAAAAATCCACTTTTGGTGTGTGTGGTGCTGGGGACGGAGCCGGGCAGGGCATGCTCTCCTCCTGGGCTGCACCTGCCTCCCTGAGTCTGTCTCAGTGCCTCCCTGGGACTCAGTCCTCATGACTCTCAGAATGTCACCTCCCTCCCCACAGCCATCCATCGGGCCACTGTCTGGCCTTCTCCGGTGCTGCCCTGCGGCCTGCAGTGCGTCCCAGGCCTGCTGTTCTTGCAGCTGGGAAATGACCCCCGGCCTTGGTTTTCCTCTCTCTGTGGCCAGGCGCGGGCAGGCATCCTGTGTCCGTGTGCGGGCTCTGGAGCGGGTCACTGGGCCTGAGGCCTAGCTCACCCCTGACCAGTGCCACAATCCCCACCCTCCCCTGGGAGTCGGTGATGCAAGCAGAGTGCCAGGGGAGATGTGGAAAGGTCTGGAAACCCTGGCCATTAGGTGGATGTCGGGGGGGCACCCCACTGGGCACTGCTGTTTCTTGAAGCCCCTAATGACCCTAGCGTGCGGCCAGGTTAGAGGCTGGGGCAGGGCTCTAGCCCCGTGTCTGCCCACGGTGAGTCCCCTTCCTGCCAGCCTCTCTGCAGCCAGGACGTCACCCTGCTCTGGCCAGAGAGGAGGCCGGGCCCACTGACTTGCCACCTCTTCTGCAGCTCCTTCTCTCAGGGCCTGCGGGAGAGGACCCTGCGGCACATCCTGAGCTGGTGGCGCTTGAGGGCATGGGCTCAAGGCACCCTGTCAGGTGGCAACGAGACCTCTTTGGCCCTGGGGCCATGGGGCAGTGGCCCGAGAGCAGAGGCCTGGCTGGGCTGCAGTGACCCCCAGGTTCCCTGGAGCAGGTGAGGGCAGGGTGGGGGATGGGCAAGGGGAGGAGTGGGGGGAGGGGCACCCAGGACTCAGCGCCTGGGTCCCTCCCCAGGCTCCCAGGACCCCCGTCCTCCTGGAGCCTCTCCGGGTGAGCTTCCTGTGGGCAGCTGGGCGGCGACGGCAGAGGCAAAGCCTTCTGCTCTGGTGGGCACGGGCCCAGCAGTCCCGGGGCGCAGCGAGGTGGTGCCAGCGCAGCCTGCAGAGGCGGTAGGGCCCCTCCCTCCCCCGTCAGGGCTGTGCTGCCCACCACGCGGGAGACTGGCTGTTCCCTGGCCCTTCTCCCCGCAGTCCTGGGCCTCATGGCAGCCTTCCCTCGGGCCCTCTCTCATGTCCCGTCAGCTTGGCCCCTGATTCAGGTCCTCCCACGCCCGTCCTCCTGCCCTGCCTCCCGAGGGGGGGGGCACTCTGCAGGGTCCTCGTGTCTCTCAGGAGTCACAGCTGAGGCGCATTCATCCATCCATTCATAGCCCAGTGCCCAGGAGTGGTCTGCCCGGGGCATAGCCCAGACTTGCACCTCACGGGCTGCATGACCTGGGCGAGTGGCTGAAACGCTCCGTAAGATGGGGCGGTGGCAGTGCCCACTCCAGTGCGCGTGTCCATCCCCGGCACAGGAGGGCGCTCGGGCCACAGCTGTGTTTGATTCTGCCTGAGCTTGGGACTTGGTACTGAGGGTGGGGCCCTTCCTATCGCTATCACCGGCCACATGACCCCCTCCAGTCCCCAGCAGCCCACCCACCCCTTGATGGAAGCAGGGAGGGTCACTCAAGCCCTCCCTGCTGCTGAAGGGAGGAGAGAGGGGACTCCTGGCCCAGGGTGGCAGTAACAGTGACTGTCCCTGGGGTGGACATGCCCCTTCCCAGTGTCCTCCTCAGCTGGAGCCACTGGACCACAGCCCAAGGTGCCCGGAGGGAGTTGGCTGCCCACCGGGCCTGGGAGCGGAGCTGCAGGACTGCGCTGGGGCTGTGGCGGCAGCGGCTGGCGCAGTGGCAGGAGGCCGAGCAGCGGGCCCAGGAGCGGGGCCGGGGACTGGCGCGGGAGGCGCTGCGCTGCTGGCACTCCTGCTGGCAGAGTGAGTCGGGCGTGGGCTTGGGTCATCAGTGAGGCCCAGGGTTCCACACCGGCGGCAGGGCACACCCAGGACAGACCGGGTGGCGGAGCAGGATGGGGGTTGGAACTCTAGTCATGGCTGGGGCCCTGCCTTCCCTCCCCTGGCTGGAGGGACCTTGACGGACCCACTTGGCCTCTGAGCCTCAGCTTACTCATCTGTAAAAGGGGTATGATGCAGCACCCAGCTCACGGGGTGATCGTGGGGACCTAGGGACCCCCCCCCACACACAGCTCGGCCCACAGCCCAGTTCCTACCCAGTTACACTGTGATCACCTTCATCTTCCTCCTGTCACCCCAGCCTGGCCTCCCAGAGTCACTGGTGGGAGCTCCCAGGTGGCGGGTCCCCAACGGGGTGGGTGGGTGGCTCAGCAGTGGAGGCAGGGGGTTTGTCTGCACATGCCAGGGCAGCGGGTGGGACGGGATGTGGCCAGGGAAGGAAGGGCATGGTCCCAAGACAGACTGGCTCCTTGGAGGGAGGGGCTGTTTCCTGTGCCCTGTCTGAGCCCAGCCATCATCGGGCTGCTAGAGCCTCTGTGATCCCCGCTGTGTAACAAATGACTCCAGAACTAGTTTTTAGTAAGTGTTTAGTGGCAGGGACGGAGCACAGGGCCTCAGGCGTGCCAGGCAAGTGCTGTACCCTGGCTGCGCCCCGCCCTGTTGACCAGTCATGAGCCACAGACACTTAGTATCTCAGTGTCCATGTGCTGGGTCCAGGGTGGCTTGGCCAGGCACCGAGGCTGCAGTGCCATCTGAAGGTGGGCCTCTCAGCAGGGTCCCTGCATGAGTGGCAGCTGCCCCCACCCTGCAGGTGAGTGATCCAAGAGGCAGTGAGGGTGCCCGCCAGAAGCTGGTCATTTATGACCTGGTCAGCACCCCTGCACCTCAGGTCAGTTAGTCCAGGCTGCACTTCAGGTGTGGGAGGGGGCATTGCACAGGACATGGACAGCAGGAGGCATCTTGGGGCTGACTTATGTGAATAGGCTGATGGGCAGAGAAGCGCCTGATCTGTCTCTGGAGACAGCTGCTTCTCCAGCCCGATTCCTGCCCATCCGGAATGCTGACCAATGTTTGATGCAGGACCTCCTTGGTTTTAAAGAAAAACTAGAAATCTGGATTTAAAATCTGAATTCTAACAATGCCTGAACATTGTCAAAAACTTTTTTGGAAAGGCAGGGGCTGGGGGCGCAGCTCAGTGGCCGAGTGTGTGCTCAGTGAGGTGCCGCCCCGGGTTCCATTCCCAGTACTGGAATTAAGACCAGAACCACCCAACGGCTCCCTGAGTCGGGTTGGCCTAGTGACCAGAGGATGGTCAGCTGCTGCAGAAGCGCTCTAACCCAGTCAGTCTGGGCGGCCGCCTCGGCTCCCATGTGGGTGGAGGGCAGAGGGCTGGGCCGGGGAGGGGCCGGATGAGCTCAATGGCACTGCAGCCTCTCTCTGTCCCAGGGCAGCAGGTCCTGCATGAGAAGTACCAGAGGTGGGTGCAGGGCCACCTCCGGGGCCTGCGGAGGACCATGTTCCAGGGCTGGTGGCAGGCAGCGGCTCGAAGGAGGCACAAGCAGAGGTGGGTGGGCCTGGGGCGGGGATGCTGCTCATCCTACCCCAGGGGAAGCAGGGAGCGAGCCGGGGGCTGGGAAGCTCGGGTGGCCCAGGCTGGAGAATGAAGAGGGCACCCCGGACATGAGGCTGCGACCACCAACCTCTTGTTTTGTGTTTGGGGGGTGTGGCAAGCCCCTGCGCTCCCCACGGCCCGACACACCCAGCAGTTCACTGGGCCAGGTCGGTGCTGAGGTTTCAGAGGTGCCATTGGATGGAAGATGAATGCCTCGGACGTCTACCATAAGGGGGGCTGGGTGGGCAGCCGCAGCCCTGATCAACCCACGATTGCCAGAGAGGGAGACCATGATTTTTTTCTTTTCGGTGCTGGGCATGGAACAAAAGACCTCACAAAAATAGTAAAAAGAAACGTTTTGGGGGACTCGATACCCTGAAATTAAGCCGCGAGGACAATGTCTCCTCCCCTGTTCGGCCCTGATTTGCAGTCGTCTCCAGGGTCCTAGTGGGCTGGCCACTCAGCGACTGCTGTCTCTGCTCTCACCTCTGAGCAACCTGGGCTGGCTCTTGGACCCTTGGAGTGGGGGATCATCTTTCCCCTTCCTGCCAGCTGCCGGGGCAGGTGAGGGAAAGCTGGCAGTGGCCACGAACCCACACTGCTGGGTCAGCCCCCTCCCAGGGTGGCATCTGCCCCCCAGGGCCAAGATTCAAAGATGGGGTCCATGTGCGTCGAGTCCCTGAAGGATAGCAGTGCTTTCTCTGCTGTTTGTTAGCCAAGACGTTTTTAAGGCACAGGGCTATGTACGCCAAGTCATGTGAACCTATGTGACATTTTGGGTGACGAGCAGGTGTCATTTTAAGTAAATGTGACTTTTGACTCTGAGCCAGCTGGGCCCCTCTCCACTCCTGTTCTGCAGTTACCTCTAGGCCTGGCACTGGGGTGAGCCTGTGAGAGGCAGGGGTGGCCTGGGCTCAGAGTCCAGCCAGAGAAGAAGGGCAGTGGGGCCTCATTTGCCACCTGGCAGGAGGCCCGGAGTGGCCGCCTGGGCACAGGAGCAGCAAGTTGCCTAGGCCTGCACCGTTGCTGGAGAAGCCATGTGGAGCAAGGCTGGGCACAGGCAGCAGAGGGCCCAGGCCCAGCAGGCCTTGGTGGCATGGCAAGTGATCTTGGATGGTGCTGTGAGGCCCAGCAGCAGATAGAAGTAAGAGCACAGGCCCAGGACCCAGGCCAGGCGGCTCTGGGCAGGACCCCGTGGGTACACAGGTCCACACGGCCTGGAAGCTGAGTGCCCGCCGAGTGCCTGGGAGTGGTGCAGCCCAAGGGCAGCCCCCAGCAAGCTCCGGCTCAGGCCGGGGGCTTGTTTTTCCCAGCAGCAAGGCATATTGGGCAGGAGTGGGGCGTAGGAGAACGATGGGGAGAGGCCATCTTGGCCACCACAGGGCCAAGCCCAGGGGCAAAAGCACAGGTCTGCCACTCTAGCAGGGGGACCTTCCTTGGGGAAGTGCCTGACAGTTCCTGCAGCCTGGCCAGAGTGCAGGCGCTCAGTATGGGTCAGATGCAGCAGAGGAGAGCTGACAGGACTGTCCTCTCTGCCACATAAACAGGAAGCTAGTCCCTGTCCAGGGCCCTCTCCACACTCATTTTAACCCAATTCGTCACAAAAGGCGTGGGGGAGGACACAGGCCGGGGGCCTTCCCTGGAGGCCCTTCCCAGAGGGCACTGGGGAGGGCTCCTGCCCCACCTGCCTTAGAATGCTGGCCCCGTGGCCTCTGGTATAGCCCCCCTCTTTCTCCTCTAGGGTCCTACAGGCCTGGGCTCAGTTAGCGGCCCAGGGCCACGTCCAGCAAGCTGCCATCAGCCGGCTTCAGCAGGCTGGGCTTAGGCGCCTCCTTTGGACCCACTGGGCCCAGTGGCAGATGGCGCTGCTCAGAGTGCGGCTGAAACCATGGACCCAGGCCCAGAGGATGGACCTTGAGCACTGGCCCAGGCTGGCCAGCAGAGGGTGCCTCGTGCTGATGGACACTCCAGCCCCTTGGAAGCAGGTCGGGTGGGGTGCAGGCAGGGTGGGAGGTATAGAAGTGACCCTCTGATCACTGATTTTAGAATCACCAGTCCATGGTGACAGCTGGCTAGATGCTCCTCTAAAGGCCCAACACCCTCATGGACAGCTCTCCTACCTGGTTCCTAGGTGCCCTCCAGGCTCAGGATGGCAGGCAACTCTGGGTCCCTCTGCAGACATTCACTGAGCACCTCTGGATCTGCTCAGTGCAGACCTGGTTATAGAGTCAAACCTGCTGGGGTCTCCGTCTGTCAGGGAGGCGGACACTTAAATTACGTATCATGTGCAGCTTAGGATCAAGAAGGTACATGGGGACAATAGTAATTTTTGTGAAGTTTTTTTATTGGAAAAAATAAATATGCCCATTACAGAAAAACTGGAAAACACAGTAAAAAAAGTTCTGTCCTAATTTTTACCACCTGAAGGGAACTGTCAGTTTTCTCCAGACCAGAAACCGTTAGTTCTGACACAGCAAATGGTGATAAGAGGCTGATGGCCTAGCAGGAGGGCAGGGGCCACTACAAAACACAAGATGTGACACTGCATAGCAGTCTGGGGACATGTCCTTGAGGGACACAGCCCAGATATACTGGTAGGTCAACTGGTCTTTCTGAAGATCTCTGGCCATCACCAGGAGTCAAAATTCCAGGAAGAACATGACCAATTTTAGAGATTCTAAGAAAAACATTAAAGTGTTTTTTGCTTTTTAAAAATATTTTTTAGTTGTAGTTGGACACAGTAACTTATTTTTATGTGGTGCTGAGGATCGAACCCAGGGCCTCGCATGTGCTAAGCGAATGCTCTACCGCTGAGCCACAACCCCAACCCGTGTTTTTTGCTTTTTAAAATGTAATTGAGGGGACTGGGGTTGTGGCTCAACTAGAGCGCTTGCCTAGCATGTGTGAGGCACTGGGTTCGATTCTCAGCACCGCATAAAAATAAATAAAGGCATTCTGTTCATCTATAACTACAAAAAATATATATTTTTAAATGTATTGCGAGTGGCTTTGGTAGTTTGCACACATGAGACTACAGCAATAGCAGATCTGGCGTCTCAGGGTATTTCTGGATGTGTTACAGGACAAATTTTTATTCAGAGTATTTATACCTTCACTGCTTTCCTGTCAGCAAGGTAAGACCTCCCATCACTGACGGAGAAACTTGGGCTTAGAGAACAAAGTAGAAGCTAGGTGCAGTGGCGCACGCCTGTGATCCCATTATTTCAGGAGGCTGAGGCAGGAGGAACACAAGCAGGCCAGCGTCAGCAACTAAGAGAGGCCCTAAATAACTTAGTGAGAACCTGTCTCAGATAAAGAATATAAAGGGCTGGAATGTGGCTCAGTGATTATCAGTGATTAAGCACCCCTGGGTTCAATCCCTGATAGCAAAAAAAGAAAAAAAGAAGAACAAAGTCAATGCTGGCAGACTCAGCACCAGGCGCTCCATCCCAGTCCCTCCCCTCCCCCTCCCCCATGGGAGCACACACCGGCGCAGCCCTCGCCCCATGACACACGCAGCCGTGAGCCACCTCATGTGGTGCAGTCCTGTCTGCTGTACCACCTGGGGCTCCGGGCTGTTCCTCTGCAGACAAGTGGCTCCCCTTGGCACCCCCGGGGCTGGGCCTGGCATGGGGACTCACCAAGAGGTAGCTGTTACTGGCCCATCCTCTGCTAGGATGTCTGTGGCCAAGTGGGAGGCTGGGCAGAGGGAGAGGCAGCGGCCTGTCCTGACAGCCACTCTGCTCTTGGGAAACTTGTCTCCTCCAGGGGCCTCGGGGCTTATGAGAGAACGTGAGGTGAGTGATCCATTTGTAAACATGCAAGCGAGAGGCCCTGGCCCTAATGCTGAGGGCAGGGACTCCCACCTGGTCAGCTGCCCCAAGAGCTCAAAGCCCCCTGGATTCAGGTTTTCCTCTCTGGCTGCTCCTGTAGACCCGCAGCTGCTGGACATGGGCCACAGGGCCTGTGCTGCCCCGGCCAACATGGGAGCACAGCCACGGTGCAGAGAGGACACAGAAAGAAACCACCTGGGCTCAGAGTAAGGAGACCCTGCCCCTGGGTGGTCACCAGTCCTCAGGGACCTGGAAATGACCTCCTTGGCCAATCCCTGTTGTGTTTTCCCACTCACTTCCTCTTCCCAAATGTCTCAGCCAGTTTGAGAAAACAATCCCCTTGTCCTGGCTCACCCCTGTTCTATCCCTGAGCCTGGAGACATGGGGTAGGAGGGCCGTGCTCACTCAGCACCCCCTGGCCCTCTGCAGTACTCTCCACTTGCAGGTGGCACAGAGGGAGCACCTACCAGTCTGAGCCAGTGTCTTCTCTGCCCAACTTCCTTTTCCAGGTGACAGAGAGCATCCCCTCTGCCCCACCTCCCGGTTCTGGTTGCAGTGGCCTGGACAAGGCAGCTGGGCTTCTAGCTGGCTGCCTTCGGGAATGAGAGGTGGGGGGCTCAGAGCCCTCCAAAGCCAAGGGAAGGCCCCTCCCAGCAGGCCGGGGTATGAACAGCTGTGCACGTGGGCGAGGGTGGGAGAAGGGGCCAGCCTGCACCCCGGCTCAGCTGGGCACTCTGGCCAGTGCTCATTCCTGTAGGATCCCGGAAGAGCAGCCCCAGTCCCATGGCTCTGCGCTCCTCCATGGTCATGGAGAGGTGCTGATGCTCCTGGTCATAAGGAGGAAGTACCTGCGGTGCTGGCGCCTCAAGGCTCGGCTTCGAAGGTTCCAAGCTTCCCAGAATGCCAGGCGCCTGGCGGTGATTTGGAGGAGCTGGGCAGATGCTCGAAGGGGGCAGCAGCCGTCTCAGGCCCTGGTGAGTGGTTGGCCCCCCCTCCCCTGGCCCCCCCTCACACTGTAGGCTCCTCCTGGGCCCTGGGGCACACCTCTCTGCCCACCCCGCCCTCAGCTAAGCCTAGAAGCAATGCCCCCCAGGGCTGGGCTCTGGACCCTCAGAGTTTGAAAGCATGGGACTTGGGACCAGGAAGCTGCAGTTACTAACAGGCCTAAGATGACAGCCCTTGGCACATGCCTTTCACTGGTGTATGGGAGTTGGCGGGAGGCAGAAGGGCGGGGCTTCCCGTTACCTCTCCCCACAGCTCAGGCAGTGGCACCTGGGACAGGCCTGGAGGATATGGCGGCGTCGGGTCCTGCAGCTGCAGGTAGCTGTGAGGCTACAGCAGCAAGAAGGTGGCTGGGTCCTCTCCCAGGTACCAGCCAGGGCCACCTCACTTCACCCAACCAGCCCTCCCCAAACCAGTACCAGCTCTGGTCATGGCTGGGCTGAGGGTCTTCCCTGCTTGCCACGCCCGGGGGCCCCTTCATTTGCAGGGGAGAGGGGTGGGGTTGAGTGTAGAACATACAGCCCAGAGGCTAGAGCCTGAGATTTGACTAGTGGCCACAAGCTCAGCTGTGTTGAGGTCATTCACTTGGGAACAGTGAGGCTTGGCCTGTGGCACTCTGGCTGCTCCTATCAGCCTGTCGGGTCTGGGTCTGGGGCACCCGCCTCCTCACTTGCTGCTGTCTGAGGGCTTCCAGGTCATTGTCCAGCCTATTCTGAGCCTGTGCATTTGGCCTGGGGCAGGATGGGCTGGCTGCCTGAGGCAGATGCAGGGGACATTGATGGGGACAGAAAGAGCCAGTACAGGTGTCACTCTGGCAGGCACAGCACAGGCCCCAGGGGAGTCTGAGACAAATAGTCCTTCCTCTACTCTGATTCCAGGCCTTTGAGAAGTGGCATCAGTGCTTGGTGGCCAGACGCCAAAGGAGGGGCACCACCAGCAGCCTGAGTCCCCTGACAGGCCAGGCACCAGGGCCTCGAGAGCGTGCTGGAAGCTGCCCACTCCCTGGTGTGGCGGGCTTGGACCAGAACAGGGGTCAACCTGCTGCGAGGCATTCCCACAGAATAAAAAGCAGAGGAGAGCCCGGCCTTCCCAGGGAGGGGCAGTGCCCCCCCACCCGGAATGTCGACAGCTCAGGGAGCGCTGAAGTACAATAAAGGCCTCCACGGTCTCCGATGCTTCTCTTGCTCAGTCTTTCTAAAAGGCTGTCCCCCCTCATTCCCGTGAGCTGGGCTGAGCAGGAAGGGGAAGCCCCTCCTCTGCCCTCAGCTGCTCTGCAGACACCACCACCTGGGTGCAGGGATCCCCCTGCTGAGCCTGGAAGCCCAGGATGGAGGGGGCAGCCCATCTGCGCCTGCCAGTCACTGCCCCAGGGAATGTGGCCCCAGGGCTGGCTGCTGGGCAGGAGTGCCAGTGTGGCTTCTGGGCCAGGGTGAGCAGAGGGCGGGCAGCTGGCAGGAGAAGCACTTGCCTAAAAATAAGCCAGGGAGACCGTGGCCTGCTCAGGCGTCTCATCTTTGCCTCTGACAGTTAGTGGGACAGGAGAAAAGGCAACGGGCCCAGAAAGCACAAGGGTTAGGACAGACTTGAACCCTTCAAGGGCACTGTTTCTCAAGCCCTTAGAACACAGACAAGGGTTTCAAACAGTAGGAGGTCAAGAGCAGCAGTGCCTGGTCGTCAGGGATCGGCCAAGGCTGTCCAGGGCCTGGCGTGGCCTGCCATGTGCGAGGTCTTCCCCTATAATCACAGGTGGGGCTGCTGCCAGCATCTAGAGGTGCAAGGGTGCAGCCCCTTCACTTAGCCAAGTGTCCTCAATGCCACAGTACCTGTCACCCGTGGTCTCTCTGCCCATCTTACACAGGCCCAAGTACAAGTTCACTGGAGTCCCAGCTGGATCCACAGGCTCCCCTGGTGTGAGGGCTCAGATGCAACCACCAGTCTCCCGCTTCCTCAGGGAGGTGGTGTGCACCACCGTGCTCCCCTGCAGGATGGCAGTGCTCTCACCAGAGACTGACCCTGACCCTGACCCTGGCTAGACCAGGGAGCACCAGGCTCCCCTGTGCCACTGCCTCAGATCCATCCAGAGCCTGGAAGCCTCACATCAGCCTAGTCGCCATCATCAGGGGGGTGAAGAGGCCCAGGCTTTGGATAAAGGAGAACCAGGATGCGGGGGGATGGCTGGATACCAGTGGCCAAGCCAAGCCATGGCTGTCAGGACGCAAGGTCATAGAGCTTCTGACTCCCTCTCATTCTGCGCAGGCCTGTTGAGCAGCTCGAATGTGTCTTCTACCACCTGCCACAGGCAGTTGTCCAGCGGGAACTCATTGTCCACCAGGTTGACCAGGAAGTAGTTGTCGTGGATGTACTGGATGATCATGCGGGACGGGGACTCCTCGTCATATAGCTTGCCCCACCTCTCGATCCACAGGGCGAAGGCCTCATCCTACACATGCATATGTGGGTGCGTGCGCGCGCACACACACACACACATACACGCACACACAGGCAAGGTCAACAGGGCTGCCCTTGGGTCAGGGACCCCTGCGCAGCACTCCAAGGGCATCCTTCCCGCCTGGCTCAGAAGTAAACATGTGTGAGCATGAGGCCTTGAAGGCCAAGTTGGCTGGCCCTGGGGGTGTGGCCTTCAGCCCCACACTTGGGATAGGGAATACCACCTGCCCAGGGTCCTCAAGGAGGGCAAGGCAGGCCCGCCCCCGTCCCCCACTCCTTTACCTTCCAGAACATGAAGCTGACAGGATCCACCACCGTAGGCTGGATGATCTCCCGCCCAGGGAAGATGCCCCATGTGACGGCGTTGGGCCGAAGTTCAGGGGCGTTGGTGACATTCTCACCCTGAAGGGGCACTGAGTCAGGGAGGCAGGTCTGGGCATCTGCAGCCCTTTACTGCCCGAGGCTTTCGAGCTCCTGGGACTGCTCTGGGCTTAGCACCCCACCGCGCCTCCACCTGCCCCTCCTGCCCACAGCTGAGTGGCACTGCTGTCCCTGCCAACCCGAAACCCAGAGTTGTCCTGGGCAGTTTCCTCTCCTCACTGCTCCAGGCAGCCTCTGTGCCCAGCTGCCTGACCGCTCGCGCTGTGTGCCACTTCTGAATGCCACACGGTCTGTTTCCCACCTGGGACCACCATAGAGGCCTTGGTGAGCACCCCTGGCTCTGGCCTCCTGCCCGTTAGCCACACAGCTGTCCACCGTGACCTGCCTGAAGTGGTACGGGGGGCTCAGCCAAGCCACTCCACCACTGGAGGAAGACCCCCACCTGCCTTTAGGGAACCCCAGATTCCAGGCAGGACCATCAGTACCCCTGGGATTACTTGACTCTGCTGCACCTCCCTTGCCCCAAGGGCAAGATGGTGCAGCTTGACCTCTGACATCCTCTGCGCTTTCCCTGGACACTTACTCCCTGTTGGCCAAGTCCTCTGTCTTGAAGGACCTGGGCCACAGACCTCTCCCGGACTCCTTCCCTGGCCTCCTAGCTCTGATGTCCTCCTCTGTCCTCAGCCTCCTACAGAGCTTCACTCTCTCCCTTGCACTGAGTTGTCATCACCATGTGTCTGTCTCCCTCCCAGGATGGGCGCCCTGCACCAAGGTCTGCCTGTGTCTTGCCCTGCGCAGGGTGCCTGGCCACGCTAGTGATGTGCACTGCTCCAGGCGGGCAGGTGGGCAGGCCTACCTTCACGTCCACGATATGGTAGTGGACCCGGAGCTCGTACTTCTTCAGCACCTGCAGAAGGGCCTCCACGGTCTCGCGGGAAGTGAAGAACTCCAGGTAGGCCTGTGGGAGGTGGGCGCCCATCATGCAAACCCCCTCTCGCCAGGCACCCTTGGCCGGTGCTGCTAGGCATGCTCCGTGTCTGCAGCCTGCCCTGCCCATCTGGAGAGGGGCCCCACAACATGTGCACAAGACACTGAGGGCATCAGGGCTGGAGGTGGCCCCGTAACTGAGTGTGAAATGCGGAGCTGGTGAAGCTGGAGGTGGAGGGGACTAGCACACGAGGCTTCAGTTGGGGAAGATCCAGGGTCATCTGCCACCTGTCCAGCCACTGGGGAGAAGCATATCTGGAGATGAACAGAGGTTTACCCACTACCAAGCTAAAGGGTGGCAGAGGCCTGATCCAGCTCGCCCTTCCCAGTCACTGAGCTAAAAAGTTCGTAACACTGTCAGGTGGGCACTTCACCCCAAGGAGCTAGTTAGTGTTGGGGAAGTTGGCTGGGCTGCCTACACTGACAGCGAACAGCAGAGCTGGTGCCCAGGGCCAGGGCCAGGGCCCACGGGCTGCAGCTCAGAATGCAGTTTAACTCTAGCAGCTGCCCACCCGGCCTCGGGGCAGCAGCTCCCTGTGAGTGGCCATTCCCATGTTCCTTCCTTTCCATGCTTATCGAGTTCTGACCCCAAACATGAAATACATCCCATTACAGAAGACAGAAGTGAAGGCTGAGAGGCCAGGGGTCCGGCTGCCCAGGGCTGGCTGATTGGAAGTGTCAGCACCTGGTCACTCTGTCCACTGTCTTTCAAAACGAAAGGCCCAGGAGAGAAAGACCAGAGCTGTGCCCAACCTCCAGGGAACCTGGGGGTGCTGGCAGAGTGGGGCAGCCTGGGCATCTCCACCGTACCTTTTGGAAGACATAGCCCCCGCTGGGGCCCCAGCCCACGACGGGGTCAGAGGACGGCCTCCCGTTGATGTTGGGCTGGGAGTTGATGGTGAGGACGCCCCGCTGGTTCACGCGCAGCAGCTCCTCCCTCATCAGGCTGGTCTCAGCGGCCAGGGGCTCGTCGTTCCAGGGCAGGCAGGTCACCTGGCAGGGAGGGTGAGCTGGGCTGGCAGCCCCTCCCCAACTCGCCCTCTTCCCCCTGCTGAGGCTCCGTGCCCACCATGTGGACAGGGGCTGGCGTAGGTCGGAGCAGTCCAAGTCCATGATCTGGCCTACGGCTGGGGACAGGGCCCCCCCCCACCTCTGCTCACCTTGTGGCCATGCCGGTTTGGCTCCCCGGAGAGGTAATGTGCGAAGACCTCGAAGACGCTCTCCTCGCTGCACAGCTCCTCCCCCCACATCCTCAGCAGCTCCTCCCGGGGGGACTTGCTTTTCAGGTAGAAGAGGTAGTAGTCCCTCAGCTCCCCGAAGGCTGGCGAGGAGGAGTTGCCCCTGGCAGGGAGGTGCCCCAAGGTCAGGGCACCCCCTGCCCCGGGCTCCTGGCAGGGAAGGTGCCACCACGTGCCCAGGAGGACACTCCTGTGAGTCCTGCCCGGCTCCTCCCGGGCACAGGATCTCCCGCAGGAGCGTCTGCAGGGGCTCACCAGCGGCCATTGGGAAACTCATCCCAGTCCTGGGTGCGGTAGATGTAGCTCTTTGGTCTGGAAGCCCAAAAGATGGGACGCACATCTTCTTCCCGGCGCTTGGGGTGGGCGCTGATAGCCCAGGGCAGGGGACGCCTGGTGAGGATAGAGACAGACAGGACAAGGAACAGGCGTAAGGAGCAGGAGGAGGTTGCGCAGCACTGAACCTGGCTTCTCAGACCTGGCTCTAGACCTCTAGCCAGGGCAGCTGCAGGCGTCCCAGCACTCAGAGGCTGAGGCAGAGGCTCATCTGAGCCCAGGAGTTCTGAGGCCAGTGTGGGCAACAGCAATAGTGAGACCTGGTCTCAAATCAAAAAAACCATTTGTACCAGGCATGGAGTGTCAAATAACCCCTTTGAGGAGTGTAGTTGAATTTATGCAACCAATGTGTCAGAGTTACCAAACTGGTGTGGTGTTATCACCCTGTACTCAAAAATTCTTGAAGACTTGAAGAGCCTATGGTTATGTGGCTCTTTTCTATCTATCCATATTTACTGTATTAGAAACTAAAAGTGAGGCCAGGCATGGTGGTACACACCTGTAATCCCAGCTACTCGGGAGGCTGACTCAGGAGGATCACAAGTTCCAGGCCAGCCTGGGCAACTTAGTGAGACCCTGTCTCAAAACAAAAATAAAAAGGGCTGGGGGTCTAACTCAGCAGTAGAGCACCCCTGGTTCAGTCCCCAGTACCACAAAAATATAAGAAAATGAACCTTGAGCTACACAGGGTGCTCTCTGAGGAGTGTGAGCCAGGGCAGCCGTGGTGCAGGAAGGCTTCTGCGCCACCACGGGCCGCTCTGCCCTGATACCGCTCTGACTCTCCCTGGGTCTCCCCAAGCCTCCACCCTCACCTGGGGTCCTCAGTCCACAGGCCCAGGCGCTTCAGCACCTCTGTGGTGGCCACCTCGCGGTTGAGAGTGTAGAAGTGGAGGCCAGGCACCAGGCCACTGGCCAGAAGCTCCCGGCACAGGCTCACGGCCAGCTCGATACCGTAGTTGCGGATGGCAGCATCGTTGTCTTTGATGGGCTCGATCACATCCTTGATCTCCTGCGGCACCTCCAGCTTGGACAGCTTCATGAGCTGGCGGAGGGAGGAGTAGCCCTGTCCAAGACACACGGGGCTGTGGGGTCAGTTCCCAGCCCACCCTTCCGATACCCCTCTCCCCTTTCCCAGCCCCCACCAGGCCTCCTACAACTGCAGCGTCATGCTGAGGGACGGCAGGGTGTGCCTGCCCCGCTTCCTCCACTCTCTGCAGAGTTCAGCAGCTGCCCACAGCATTCCTGCCACCAGCCTGGCCAGCCCTTGAGCTCAAGACGTGATAACACAGTGGCCATCAAACCCAGCCACTCCCAAGAAATAAAGGGCAGATTCCCAGGCCCACACCAGGTTTGTGACATCAGAACTCCTGAGCGGGCCTAGGACCTGGCTGTGGGAAAAGCTTATCCGACGGATCCGAAGACAGCCGACTCTGGGGAACACAGACTTTAGCAAAATTTATGACTTATAATCCCTTTTGTCAGTAGGTCACAACACAGCAGGACCCTTGACAGGCACTGTTGCAGGGGGCGTGGGGTCAGAGGCAACCAAAACCAGGCAGCCAGACACCCCTGGGCAAGGCAGGCAGGCTGTCTGATGGGAAGCCCAGGAGCAGCACGGAGAAACTAGAGCATGAAGCCAGCGCCCTCCCCAGAGCCCTGGCCTGTGCTGGGACGGTGGGTGCCGGGGGACAGCTCCCTGGACCCTCACCTGAATGGGGAAGATCCCGGGGAGGATGGGGCAGGTGATGCCCGTTGCAGCGCAGGCCTTGACAAAGTGGAAGAAGGTGTCGGCCTCGAAGAAGAGCTGGGTGATGATGAAGTCGGCGCCTGCCGAGAATTTCTCTTTCAAGTGCTTCAGGTCGTCCTCAAAGCTCTCTGCGTCTGGGTGGCCTTTGGGGTAACCTGCCAAAAGGGACAAGTGTAGGAAGGGACTGGCCTGTACCTGCTCAAGGTGCATGGTGGAGACACCACAGCCCCTGGGAGCAGAGTCCCTGGCCTCGTTCTGCACTGGCACCTTCCAACAGCACAGTGTGGACAGGTGATGTGGGCAGCTGGGTCACGAATGATGTGCCCCCAACCCTGGAGATGACTCTCATGGGAGGCAGCCTGCAGTCGCTGTGTCCAAGGCGTGGGGTGGATTGCTCCGGATGCCTCAACCAGCCAAGCAAATCAGCCTGCACTGTGGCCACGGAGCACAGGTGTCACATTCAGCACTGGCTGAGCAGCTTCTGGGGTTCTGGGCTTGACTTTTGTAAAAAATATTGTTTTTGCCAGGCAGGGTGGCAAACGCCTAAAATCCCAGCAGCTTGGGAGGCTGAGGCAGGAGGATCGAAAGTTCAATGCCAGCCTCAGCAAAAAGAGAGGCGCTAAGCAACTCAGTGAGACCCTGTCTCTAAATAATGTTCTGCCATGACCTTGAGCCAGAGCAACCTCTAAAACCATGAGCCCAAGTAAACTGTTCCTTCTCCAAACTGTTATTGTCAGGTATTTTGGTCACAGCAACGAAAACCTAATGAAGAATTTTAAAAAAGTAGACCAGTTTCACTTTAGGAAGTGAAGAGAGAACACAGTAGTGACTTTCACATGTCTAAAGTCCATTGTGGGGAAAAGGATTCACCTGAGTGGAGCTCTGTATCATCCTGATTGCTTCTGATGGCAGAACCAGTACCCATGTCAGCCCTGCAACTAGCTCCTGGGTCTGAACATATTGGGACAGCAGGAAGGCCACATGCTGAGTGTGCAAAAGGTGGGGTTCTGAATTGCCTGTGAGGTGGGACCAGATGCCCTCTGGGATCCCTACTAGTTCTGTGAACTGACCCCTTCCCCACATGACTGCACTGGCTAGCAGCCTACAACCAGAAGGCAGGACTCTGAGCCAAGCCGGGAGCAGATCAGGGACCTGGGCTGTTGGGAAGCCACACTGCTCTGCTGTGATAAGCAGTCCTGTTTCTGAAGCAACCCAGAGTCATCAAAAATGGACATAAAACCTGGGCACGGTGGCGCACATCTGTAATCCCAGCTACTTGGAAGGCTGAGGCAGGAGGATCACAAGTTTGAAGCCAGCCCCTACAACTTAGTAAGGCCCTGCCTCAAAATAAAAAATAGGAAGCGCGGGGAAGTGGCTCAGGGGCAGAGCATGCCTGTTCAACCCTCAGAACTGAAAAACACAAAACCAAAGGAAAAAGCCAAAGAAAAGTTGTTGTCTTAAGGAGTAAAGGGGCAAGAGGATACTTTCAATAGCAAAGCTACTTTTCCAGTAGGAAATTTAAAAACCACATGGCTATAAAGCAGTGTATCACCAACCAAACCCAGCACTTGGGGACACTGGGATTTTGCTCACTTTACCACATTCTCTCTCTACTGTGAGCAGCTTGGGGCTGTTTGACCCAGTGATCTTCCTGTCACCCGCTTGATGATCAGCAAAGCACAAAGCCACTCGGCGTCTGTACACTTGCGGCTTTGTAGTTCCACCATGATCAGCCAGCACCCACGACAGAGCGACAGTGCGCAAGCGCGGGCCCAGTCACTGTCAGCATTAGAGCTGGGGAGCGGTGACCAGGAACAGCTGGAGATGCCTCTTCTCTTCTTAACTCCTTATCAGGGCTTCCCAGTCATGCCTGCCTAGGGACCCCCTAGGGACTCATGTGGGCGACCAGAGAAAAGCCCAAGTCACCTGCAACAAATAATTTGCTTAAAGCCACATAGCCTATTTTTCAAAAATTCAGATTATTTGAGATGTTACTCCATAGCACAGCCATGCTTAGGTTAATAATATAAGTATGGTTTGATTTAGCCAGGTGTGGTGGCTCACGCCTGTAAACCTAGCAATTTGGAAGGTTGAGACAGGAGGATTAAAAGTCCGAGGCCACCCTCAGAAACTTGGGAAGATCCTGTCTCCAAAAATAAAAAGGGCTGGGGATAGAGCTCAGTGGTAGAGCACCCCGTGTTCAATCCTCAATATACCCCCCACAAAAAAAACAGCATTATTTTCTAAAAAAAATTTGAGACATCCCAAATCAATCCAGGGACCTCTTGTGTCCCTGGCCAAAATGGCCTCACCATACCTGATCCCTGTTTGAGAAGCTGAAGGCCCAATTCCAGCAAGTAGGGGTGGAGGGGAGGCCATGGTATTTGTCCTCCGTTGAACCAATCCCACTCCCTCTCCTGGGATTTTGGAATCGACCCTGAGACCTGCGAATCAGTCTGGGACACTGGTTGGAAATGACATCTCATACATTCAGAATCAGGTCATATGCATAACCCCCAGATCTATGGGAGGAAGCAGAGATGGGAGCCCTGCAGCTTCCCCCGAAGAGCTGGTTCCAGTGCCTTGTGAATTCTGGCGCCACTTCCTCAACTTGGGTTCTAGGAGTCCTTGTCCCCCTGGAGTCTTCATAATGAATCTCTTTCACTGTAGAGTAGAGGGCTGGGGAGCAGGCTGGGAGCATGCAAAGTAGAGGGACAAAAGCTCAGGGGTAGTGGCAGGCCTGGGAGGGCAGCAGGTAACAGGATAAGCTAAATACGCCATGGAATTCACCTCTGCACATCCTTCAACCAGCGCCGTCCTGAACCCGGGCTCTCTAGCCTCCCTCTCTTTCCCCACCCACCTGGATGCTCCAGCCACTCACCTGCCACACAGATGTCAAAGTAGTCCCCAAACTCACTTCGGATGTGCTTCACGAGGTCTGCAGCATAGCTGAAGCCCCCCTCCTCAGTTTCCCACTGGTCACCTATGGGGTCTGCAGGGTTGGTAGAGGTCATGGTCAGCAGCTCTTGCCTGACTTCCAAAGAGCCTTTTGCTCCCTCTAACTACCCTGACACCCAGGGCTGTGAGCTCCCAAAGGCAGAGGCTGCGCAGTGCCTAGCTCTGGGTCTTCTCTTCCTAGCCTAGCTCCTGGCGCGTGGTGGAGGAGGAAAGCAGCCAGCTGTCAATGTCTGCCAAGTGCCGACTTCCTGTGAGTTTTGCATGCCGCTCTCCACTGAGCACAGAGGACAGTGGTCCCTTGCCTGGCCCCGCTGCCCAGTGTGCATGAGCATCCTCTCCTGTGCCTCCTGCTCTCTTGAAGCTCTGTTTCCTGTCTATCTCAAGTGAGAAGTGGTCCTGTGATGGGGAGCATGAGGCCACAAGATTCCTCCCAACCATCAGGGTCCCTCCTCCTGTTCTTGGGTGACCTGATGACAGTAGGTGCTCCTGGCCAAATGCCAGGACTGTGTTCTGTGACTGGACCAGGTGCAGCCAGCGATTGACAGAATTGTGCAGCAGGACAGAGGGTTATCAGGCACCAGCGGCTCTCCCGCCTGGATTCCTATAACCAGCTGGGAGATGCAAGAGGCAGCCATGTTTGTGCAGTGCCCATGTGAACTCACTGCCCACAATGCCCAGAGGCTGTGGGCAAGGAGGAGCCCTGAGATGCTCAGGATGGGCCCCAGGGAAAATAAAGGATTGCTCCAGGGACAGGTGAGGCCTTTGGGAAAGCAAGAACCCAGAGAGGAGGGGAATGCTGGCTCCACACCTCCCCTTAGCGCCAAGATGTTCTTCAGGCCCAGCTGCTTGGCTTTGTGCAGATGGCCCGTGATCTCCTCCCGGCGCTGCCGGCAGCAGGTCATGTGCAGAATGGTTTCCAGGCCACAGTAGTTCACAGCGGTACTGGCAATCATCATGGAGGAGGTCTCCTTGTCTGATCCAGGGTCCCCTGCTGGGTGCCAGGTCACATCAATGAAGAGGGGACCACCTGCTGCCATCTGGTCAAACCTGTAGGGGATTTCTTTCTAAAAAGGTGTTCCTGGGGGAGCACACCCTTTACCACCTCCCCATGGGGCCTGGGAGCTGAGGAGGCACAGCATGCAAGTTGGGAGTCAGAGCAGCCTGCATTCACCTCCCCCATAGTCACTTAAAGCCATATGATCCTGTGCAAATGACATGATCTCTTTGAGCCTCAGTTTCCTCACTTATTAGATGTTGCAGGTGACATTACCTACTCATAACAGCCCCCTGAGAAACATGGCAAACAGCTCCATAGCTCTCAGTGGGAGCCTGGAGTGCACAGCAAGCCCTCAGCAAGCGTCAGCGCTGTGTGCCACGCAGCCACCCTAGCCATCTTGGGGACTCTAGGCGTTTGGATGGTCAGGAGTAAGGAGGCTCTCAGTGGCAGGCAAAGCCTCATTCTAGGAACAGGAAAAAGAGGGTCAGCAGGCACAAGATGCTTTTGTGCTGCCTCTCTGGCCACAGGACAGCAGCCAGCAGTCCTGGAGAGCAAGGCCGAGTGCCCAAAGCAGACTAGAAGCCTGCACGGGCACCCGTGTCACAACCTATGACAGTGTAATTAAACATCTTTCTATCTCTAAACCTCATAACCTTGGAGCGACACATGTGAAGTGCAAACAGTAAAAGCCACACATTTACAAAAGGAACTGAATTCATAAAGTGCTAGCATAATTAAGTTGGCATTGCTAGCTTGAGAAACATAATCCCAATTTCCAATTTGCTGAAAACATTCTCTAAATTGCTGCTTTGTGACTTCCTAAAGCACTCATGATCCAGCCCCAAAATCTGCCAAAACATGTAGTCTGAGAGAATCAACTTTTTTAACCCATTGGGGAGTGTGTCTAAAATTATCTGAGGCTGGGGAGGGACATTCAGACAGCTGAGAAGTCACAGATCAAACAGCCTCTCTGGCAGCTGCTCTCTTCTGCCCCCTCTGGCTGCCTTTTCCTGCCGGGTTAAAGTGCAGCCCAGACAGCCGGGCTGACAGCTCCCGCTCAGCCCAGCCTCCCAGCAGCTCACCTGGCGATGAGGTTGGCAGCTCCCTCGGCTGTTCGAGGAGGGAAGAATTCCAGGGAGAACCACTTGTCACCAGATTCCATCCTCCGCCTCATCTTCTCCCGGAGTCTCTCATGCCGCTCGGGATCCAGGCCGGGGGTGGAGCACCTCGAACCATCTCTGGAGCTCTCGCTGCCACTGCTGCTGCCCTCTGAGGGGGGGGTGGGGCCACCAAGTCCTCGGGTCTCCATGGCCCGTCTCCTGCTGCACAGGGTGGGGCAGGGGGTCTCAGAAGGCGGGCAGCCAAGCGCCATGCACATCCAGGCACCTGAGTGCAGGTTCAAGCGAGGGAGGAGGGAAGGCGGGTAAGGCTGCCCCTGCCACTGCTCCTGCCCCTGCCCCTGCCCTGTGGCTCCAGGCTCCACAGTCACTGTCTGCGCTGCCCCACTCAGAGCTCTGCTCTCTGCTCCTGCCTGGCTCCCGGCATGACAACCCCCACCCTACACTGAAACCCTTGGTGACAGCTACCTGATGGAGGGTGGCACAGACCACCTCATGCTGCCAGCCTCTGATGCCCACATTTCTAGCGAGCGGCAGCGGAGCCGAGCTGGGAGGACTCTGGCTTTTCAATGTTTCATTTCTGTCAGCTTAGACCCAGAGTGAGGAGGGACAGGAACAGAGGAACCTTCCCTTAGCGGGTATGCCCAACTGGGCGGAGCTGTGACAAAGGAAGAGCCCTGCGCTAAGCTGGGCCTTCAAGGGGCGGGGGCAAGGTTTCCAGGCTCCAGGGAGAGCTGAGGCGCCAGTGAGAAGGCGGATGGAGGAGGGGGACCTCGGAAGGAGAGTGCACAGGCTGGAGAAGGCTGGGGGTGGCGGCGTTGAGGCCCCAGACCTTCAGGGTCACGGGATCCCCCTCCAAAGAAGGAACAGCTTGGCTGGCTGGGCTGGCCCTGCCTGGAACATCTCCTGTTACAGTTTCAGTTTGTGGGCAAGATGGAAGGAGCCGGGGCTGAGGCAGCTGGATTTCCCGAGTTCATGCTACTTCAAAACTGTGTTGTGGGTTAGAACCTGACATTGGCTTTATTCTAAAAGGAGCCTGACCCAGGTTCAATAAGGACACGAATTTATTTCCAACTCAGAACAAAGGCTGTATGCCTGCCTGCACACTACTGAAGTCCAAGCAATCAGTGACTGCAGAGCCACCACATTCAAAGCCACGGCCAGGGCAACCACAGGCAGGCCAACAGGGCACCGTGCCATATGGCAGGTGAATGGGGGAAATGAGACAAATATTTTAAAATGAAACAAAACATTACTCTTGCATAGCAATGGCTAAACACCCAATGGTGACACTGGTATGTTGTGACATGGAGCGACACGAATGACCAGGTTTCAGGAATGCCCACCCCTAAGCCGGTGTACTCAACCATTTTGGATCCTGGACTGGAGAACCTGGTGAAATCACTGCTCTGCTCCTGAGACACATGAGCATGGGACACACACACACACAGGTCACTCTAGGGAATGTTGTCCCGTCCCCCCACCGACATGCTCATTCTGATTCCGACCTGAACTCCAGATTCTCAGTGGGGAGTGAGGAAAGGGGGATGGCAGAGCAGCCGGCTGGCAGTCACAGGAGGGCCTTATCTACTGCTGCTGGAACCCAACCTGGAGAGGAGGGAGGAAGCTGGAGTATTTGCAAATGATCTGCTCTTTTTTTTTTTTAATTTTTATTAAATTTATTTTTTAGTTTTCGGCAGACACAACATCTTTGTTTGTATGTGGTGCTGAGGATCGATCCCGGGCCACACGCATGCCAGGCGAGCGCGCTACCGCTTGAGCCACATCCCCAGCCCTGATCTGCTCTTTACACTAACTGCATTCCTAGTATATGCCAGGCACATGCCATGGGATGCTCTCCTTCAGCCAACTCCCACTGTAGCACCTAGGTAACAGGTTTGTCTCCGTCCTTCATCCTTGTTATGCTTGAGTACTAGGTGTCCCCCAAGAGCTCATGTGTGAGACAAGCAAGTAGGCTTAGAGGCGAAATGATTGGGTCATGAGAACCTTGACCCAATCAGTGCATTAAGCCCCTGATAGGGATAACTGGAGGGTAAGGAAGGCAGGTAGGGGTGTGATGGGAAGAGGTGGGCCACTGGGGGCCTGCATTTGTGGTATGTATTTTATATACAGTGAGTGGAGTCTCTGCTTCCTGATCACGTCCTGGGTGGCTTTTCGTCACCATACCTTTCTGTTCTGTTCTGTTCTGTTCCACTACATTGTTCTGCCTCACCTGGAGCCCGGAGGAATGAAGCCAGCTGACTTTGGACTGAGACCTCTGAAACTGTGAGGCCAAAATTCCTCTAATTGTTCTTGTCAGGTCTTTCGGTCACAACAGTGAAAAAGCTGACTGAAGAAGCCAGAATTAGACAGGCAGTCAGTGTAGATAGGTAAATCGAGTCAGGTCAGATCTAGGAGGCCAATTTTGAGTGAGTCTGGGAAGTTGGAGACTGTCCCCTGAGGGATCTTATCAAGAACCTGCCCCTGCTCCAACCAGTTGCCAAGTAACCTGTCCCAGGAGTTTCCCCTCCCTACAGGGAGCTACAAGGCTGTTGTCTACTCCATCCTGCCCTTCCCCCTTCATCCCTCCTATTTCCCACCTTTTGGCCATCCCACCGAACAGTTCCTGGGCCTAGTCACGTAGTCAGGAAGAAGAAAGATAAGGGGGGGAAAGGCAGGAGAACAAAGGAATCCTAGGACATATAAAAAGGGCAGAACACTTCACTTCTTGGGATACCAGCTTTGGCCCCCTTCTCCCTCCCGGGAGAAGCCTATATTACCCACTTTTTAATAAACCCTGCTTCTGTGCTTGCCTCGGCCTGCTTCGTCACCGATAACTGGCGGTATCACTGACACACCCCTAGCTCCCTGAGATCAGGACCAGGTATCTTGCCTATGGCATCCCCAGGGACTGGAGCACAGTAGTCACAAGCCACACCAACGGACCAGGTCCTCCCTCCATTCTCAAAACACCCCTCTGCCACTTACTGAGCATTCAGACCGTGCCCAGCAGCAGGATACGAAACCCACTACTCCAGAGGGTGGCGGTGGACGTCCCTGCGCAGCAGGACGCAGTGGGCCCCAGACTGCGGCGCTAGTCCCTCGCTTCTGCAGGTGTCCGCAGGACTGGAAGCCGCCTAGGTGCCGAGTGGCCTGAGTGACGGGAATAGAGTCACCGGGTCACTGGCGGGGGTGCGGGGCCAGGCCGGTCCCAGGAACCTGGATCTCTCCTGGCTCCGGGTCCCTCCATCCCAGGGTCCCCCCTGAAAGCAAGTCTTCGCCTCAGAGCTAGGGTCGCTGCGCTGGGAGCCACCGGGGATCCCACGAGTCCCGCGGAGGGGGCGCGCGGAAGGGACGGGCGGCCTCCAGCGCTCCTTGCCTCCACGCAGGTCCCGGGGGTGTCTCGGGCTCCGGGGCCTCCCCTCCCGGGCGACCCCGGCCGCGCCGTCACTCACCCGCGGGTCTCTGGTGTCTTGGAACGTCGACCCGCAGTAGCTTGGCAGCCGCGGCGTTGCTCGTGGAGGAGGCGGGGCGCGGGCGTCGGTTGCCAAGGAGGAGGGACGCGAGGGCGGAACCGCTGGCGCCGGCGACCGGAAGCTCCGCCTCCAAGATGGCCGCGCCTAGAGGTCTCGCTGGAAGCCGTCCCTTTACCGTCATGTGACGTGGGCTCTCGCCCCACCCGTCTGCAGCCACTCCCAGTCTCCGTCCCCAAGCTCGAGAAGGCCACGTGACCCTCCCGGGGCCAGTCACGTGAGGCGTGGATCCTGGGTGGGAGGGGGGTTGGCAGAGTGGTCCGGAGTGGCAGCGAAGGAGGAAGATGGCGGGGTGCAGGGGGTCCCTGTGCTGCTGCTGCAGGTGGTGCTGCTGCTGCGGAGAGCGTGAGACCCGCACTCCCGAGGAGCTGGTAAGAAGCGGGAGGGGCCGGGCTGGGGAGGGGGCGGTTGCTAAGGGATGCCGAGAGGCGTTGCCGGGGGTGGGGCCGAGCCGAAATGGGCCCGCAGGTGGCAGCGGGTGGGGCCTAGGGACCGCAGCCTGGGCTCGGGAAGCATCTGCCCTGCTTAATGTGCAGACCTTTTCTCATAACCCCTCTTTGGAATCTGAAGGAGAATCCAGGCCAACTCCAATTATCTCATGTGTATTTTCTTTTATTGTCATCTGAAAGTATTTTTTAATGAAACAGGCCTGTTCAGAATGAGCCCCTTCCACAGGACTTTGTGCGCATCATACAGCCGGTTTAGTTTCTCCAGCCCTTTTTTATTCTCTCTCACCCTTTCTGGGTCACTGTACATCCAGACTCCCCCTGCAAAGCAACCAGGTGAAACTTGAGTTGTTGTGTCCCCAGAGTTGACAGGTTACTTCTTTAGTCTAACATTTTCCCAATTGTAGTATCCTGGCTACTTGGAGAGGTCCTTCTGATTTCAGGTTCAGTGCATTGTCAGATGGAGCCTGAATCCTCCGCCCCCACCTCTAAGCTGGCAGTGGACATCTTTGAGGTGTCCTAAAAATGCCAGTGGTTATTTGGAGAATGTATCAATAGAAATGAAGAACTCAGCTGGATGACTAGCTCTCTACCCACATGACTCCTCATCCTAAAAGGTTTTTTTGAGGTCTTGTTCCACTTTAATGGTGGCTCCAGCTGATTTAGAACTAGCAACTGATCAGATTTCAGTAAATATTTCTGCCTCCTTCTTCTCTCTCTCTCTCTCTCTCTTTTTTTGTACCAGAGATTGAACTCAGGGGCACTCCCCCACTGAGCCACATCCCCAGCCCTTTTTTTGTATTTTATTTAGAGACAGGGTCTCGCTGAGTTGCTTAGCTCCTCGCTGTTACTGAGGCTGGCGTTGAACTCCCGATCCTCCTGTTTCAGCCTCCCAAACCTCTGGGATTACAGGTGCGCCATGGTGCCCAGCTTGCTTCCTTCCACTCTTAACCACTAAAAAGGTCTCCCTAATGTGGATCTGTTTTTCTAGACCATCCTTGGAGAGACACAGGAAGAGGAGGATGAGATCCTTCCAAGGAAAGACTATGAGGTGAGATTCTTAGATTCTGTGTTGGGTAACTAAAGTAGTGAGTGGGCTGCTTACTTCAGACCAAAGTGATGATTCGAACCTGAGATACTTTTTGACCTTCTGTCCTAGGGAGTGAGTGGGTAAGAAATGATGTCCTTCTGGGAAAGAGGCTATTTAACAATCCCTTTTTTCACCTTAACCCCCAATATCTTGTGTCTGTGCTTTTATGGACCTATAGTACCTTTACCCAGAGTATGCATTTGCCTTTAAACTGCCTTTACAACCTACAGAGACCCATAGCCAAAGCTACTTGCAATGTACACTCATAACAGGCTTGTGTTCATACCCTGTTAAGGAATCCTTGCTTCTCTTCTGAGAGAACTTAGTTTTCAAATGATAGTTTCTTGCCCAAGCAGCTTCTCTCTGAAATGTTCTTGATTATAGTTTCCAGTTTCATGTATGGGATTCTTATGAGTATGTGTTTTTTGTAAGATCATGCTGCTAGAGTGAAATTGACTTTTTATCATTTAATCAGTTCATGATGAGTTTTCGTATGAATTTTGAAATGAAAAAAGCAAACTATGATTGTGTAGAAAATCCTTAAACAATTTACAAAAAGAAGATAAAATCCTAATTCTAATAATATGCTATCTTAGCCTGTTCTCCCCAGCCCAACTTGATAACAGTTTTTGTACTGGTGCTTTTCTATAATATCTTTTTAAATAGGGAAACAATTTTTTATTGCCGTGATTTATTTAATCCATCTTTGGTTTCCCCACCTTCTCTATAATGAACTGCATGGTGGGGAATGTCTGTCTTTTCTTGCCCATCCTTAGCTGCTCCCTAGGGATCACTTCTGAGAAATGGAATTAATCATGTGTGTGTTCAGCACTTTTTTAAATGTCATGTAGACTAAAGATCCCATATGTGAGGACAATAACATACTTGACTACTTTAAATACTGCACATTTGCTATAGAGTGTAAACATTAGGATTTGTAGTATGGCACAGAATTTTGTAAACATTTATTATAGAGAATTTTAAACATGCACAAAAATGGCCAGGACTGTGTATCGAAGACCCTGTCCTCGCACACAGCTTCAATAGCCGTCAGCTCAAGCTTAACCTTGTTTGATCTCTGTTTTCTCCACTTCTCCCTTCCCATATTATTTTGAAGGAAATTCTATACATCATATCACATCACCTGAAAATAATTTGTGCATCTCCAGAGGATAAGGACTTTTTTAAAAAAGCATAATGCAATTATTCCATCTAAAAGATGGTATCAACTATCCAGTATATGAATTTCCCAGTTTTCATATGATAGTTATATGTATTTTTCTGTTTGAAACAGGTTCCAAATAAGGTCCTCACGTTACATTTGTTTGAAATCTTTTAAATCCCTTTCTTTCTTCTTCTTTTTTTTTTTTTTTTTCTTTTTTTGTGTGAGATGCTCTTTGACCTTCTGTCCTAGGGAGTGAGTGGGTAAGAAATGATGTCCTTCTGGGAAAGGGGCACACGTGCAGGAGATCAAGGCCAGGGCCTTGTGCATCCTAGGCAAGCCCTCTACCTCTGAGCTATATCCCCAGCCCTCTTAAGTGTCTTTTCATTTATGCTTTCTTCCTTTACATTTTTCCCCCTTGTCATTTGTTTTACAATATCATTAGGACTCTGGAATTTTCTGCCCTCTAGATTTTGCCTGTTGTGCCACCATGGTACAGTTTAATACTCAACTCTGATGGGACAATTTTTAATGAATCCAAAAGCACTGTATCCACTGGTGTATTTCCTCATACTTCTTAAGTATTTAGTTCCTTGTATGTAGTTGAGATTTTTGAGAAATCACCAGAAGACGCTCCATGTTGTGCTGTCACCTTGCCCTCTTGCTGAGCCCCTCAAGCATCGAAGACGTCTTACTGCCTTCTCCCACATCTGGGAGCTGGGCCAGCCTCCTCCACCCACCCTGCCTTTTCTGAGGCTCTCTCTTTCCACTAGACTGCACTTGTGTTTGTGATGCGCTCACCCTGAGTGGAGGTGCCAGCATGTGAATGTCATGGGTAGATGTTCTTTCGTGTGGATTATTAGTGTTTCCCAGTTAGCTGTCTCTGCATATGAGCTTCCTGAGAGCATTTGCTTTGTGTAAGAGCAAATTCACTTAGGCACTTAATCAGGAAAGTGCTCAGATTTTACTTCAGGGTCAACTAGAAACCTTGTGTTCAAGGTCTTTCTAGAGTGTACTCTTTTCCCTTCTGCTTTGGGGGAGCTTGTAATGTGTACTTGACTCTTTTGTTTGTAAATTGGGTGTCTTACAAGATGTTAAGAATCCCATTTTGACATCCATTCTCATGGGTGGTTTGATAATAATTTCCTGTCATGAATGGTGCTATTTTCTGTTTTCATGCAGGTCATTGAGTCTGTCTTGCTCTTCTGAGTTAGAAAAAGGCTCTTTTCAGAGCAGGTTTGGATGTCAATGCCTTCTCCTCTCAGACATGGCCACGGCCCTAGCTCAGGCCTGCTGAAGGTGCTTTTGTGTAAGACGAAAGTAGCCCTTCCTGATTGGATTTGGGCTGCATCTCAGCCCCACTTGTTCCTGTCGTTGGGTATTGTTTTGCTCATAGCCATAAGCAGTAGCCCTACAGGACACCTACAAAAATTTTATTAATAAAAGTTGTTAGTTTCTCAAACCAATGAACAACACATATAGCAGAAATAAAAGGATGTTAATTGTAGCAAAGGAGAAGGAAGATCTGGTTTTACTAGATCATATATTCCACTGATACATACTTTCAGTGTCACACGCCACTAATTTATTTTTAAAAGAGAAAAGATACTGGTGTTCTGGGCTGCAGTTGCTTCTAAATGCTCTTTTCGGCAGCACCATTGGGCTATAATGCACTATGTACAATACATCCATTTAAAATTCAGTTGGTTTTTCTCAGTATTTTCGGAGTTGGGCAGCTATCCCCACAGTCTATTTTAGAGTGTTTTCATCACTCCAGAAAGAAACCCTGTATCCATATATTGGTTGGGGCCCATTCTCCTTGCTTCCAACTCTCCAATCACTAATCCACTTTCTGTCGTAAAAGATTGGCCTGTTCTGGACAAAGAAAACCCTTGTAAATGCTCATGGAGTTTTAGTGTAGGAGCGGAAGATCCTGCTCTTTTCCTGCTGGAGGTTTGATATCCTGAGTCTGAGAAATATACTGGTGGTAGACAATGAGTGGGAGACCAGGTGTATAGATTTATTAAGTGTCCGGGCATCGCAGGAGAGTGAGTGTCAGTTACCCTGTGAGTCCGGGAGAGGAGAGGGGGTGTAGATGTTTCAGAGAAAAAGTCAGTGGTTTTTAGGGGAGGTGTATGAGCCCAAAGATGAAGCAGTAGCCTGGGACAGAGTTTGTCTGGGCTCTGTGCGGTGTCCACTCTGGTCTTCTTCCTGTTGTGTGAGTGAGACTTCAGCAGACTCCCCCACTGGTGAGATATCCAGAAGGAATTGACAGGGTTTGACTGTC